CAGGATGTTTAAATTACATTGAAAGTAGAATTTTGTTTATGCAATTAAATGTAGTTATGGTTCTTAGCTGTTGAAGAAGTAGTGCCTTATTGTCTGGGATCTTAAAAGCTTGCAAGCGGCCATCTAAGATGCATCAGTTGGTCCCAACCACAGGGAGTAAAGGAGAATGAAGAACACCAAAGACACAAGGAAAGGATTAGCCCAAGAGACAGAAAGGGCTCCATAAACCAGAGACCTCATCAGTCTGAGACCAGAAGAACTAGATGGTGCCTGGCTACCACCAGTGACTGCCCTGACAGGGTACACAACAGAGAGTCCTGGATGGAGCAGGAGAAAGGTGGGGTGCAGAACTCAATTTCTAGTAAGAAGACCAGACTTAAAATGGTCTGACTGAGACTGGAGGAACCCCGGAAAGCATGGCCCCCAGATTCTGTATCAGCCCAGAACTAAAACAGTGTCCGAAGCCAACTCTTCAGACAGGTACTGGACTGGACTGTGGGACATAAAGTAATACTCATAAGGAGTGTGCCTCTTAGCTCAAGTAGATACAAGAGACTCAATAGGCATCTTCTGCCTGGAGATGACATGGGGAGGCAGAGAGGGTTAGGAGCTGGTTGAATGGACGTGGAGAATCGGGTGGAAAGGAGAAGTGTGCTGTCACAGTATGGGGAGAGCAGTTAGAGTCAAATAACAATGTATGTATAAATTTTTGTATGGGGAAAAATAAATAGGTAGTGCCTTATTGAATAAAAAGAAATGTTTTGGATACAGAGAGAAAATCATATATATATGCTACAACCCCTCTTCTGAATTTTGAATTATTTAATACATGCAAGGGAAAAAGTTTTCTTAAATTTGCACCAGGCCTGCCTGTCTGTGGAGAGGCCTTGGAAAGGGAAGAATGGAGCACGGGTAGGGAAAAGTTAAAGGACCCTAACTGGAGATGAGGAGCCCTAGTGGCACAGTGGTCAAGTGCTTGTCTGCTAACCACAAGGTCAGTAACGCGAACCCACCAACTACTCTGCACAAGAGAGATGTGGCTGTCTTCTGCCATAAAGATTTACAGTCTTGGAAACCCCATGGGGCAATTCTGCTCTGTCCTACAGGGTCGCTATGAGTCGGAATAGACTCAGCTCGTCGGCAGTGGGTTTAACTGGAGATAGGGTTAGTTGTCATCTGAGCCCACGGTTGCAGGAGCCTCGCAGTAGAGTGAAATCTGCTCTAGGCTCTTAGAGGCCGTGTCATGGCTGATCTTTGTATCCCCAGGTCCTAGCCCAATGGCTGGCACATAGTAGGTGTTCATTAAATGGTAGTGGAATTCACTGTCTAGCCATCCTCAGGGTTTTTAACTTTGCCTTTGTTTCAGAACATATGGACAGATTGGGATGGAAAACCAATAGAGGCTAAAGTTGAACTGTATTGTTTTAAGATTAATTGCCAGGACAAACACAGGTGAAAATGCTGAATGAACCAAGTCTGATAGATTATTTATGGTTTTAGGGAATAGCTAGTGAATAGCTGTCCTTCAAGGAGTGATGAAGGGAGGCCATTTCCTTCCATCTTGTCTGCCATCTTAAACGCATGGTATCCAAGATCTCTGTGCTTTTCTTTGTTAAGTCAGCAAAAAGAACGTGGAGCATCACAGTGGGAGGTTCTTATAGACCAGACCTGGAAATGGGGCACATCATTTTTGGTCAGATCCCAGTGACTAGAAGTCAGTCGCCTCACCACTCCAACTGAAGGGAGACTGGAAAATGTAATCATCTGTGTGTCCAAGAAGAATAGCTAGATTTGATGCACAGCCAGTCTCTGCCACATGAACTCAGTGACAGTGACTGTGTATACAATTAAGGAGTCTTTGGTTAGTTTTCCTGTTGCCACCAGGCATAGGACCCAATTTCTCCTGATGTGTATGTTCAGAGAAAATTGTATAGGCGTTTCATAGACAGAGTTCAGGGAAGGGCATTCCAAACGGGGTTTGTAAGGAAATGGAGACATAGAATTATATGCTGCTGCAGAATTGTAACAAGAACATTGTAGCTAAAGTAAAGGGCATGGGGGAGGAGATAAGATGGAAATTTCAGTTGAGGCTAAATACTGTCAAGGCCTTTAGACTTTTTAAATCTTGTTTGTGTTGGGAAGCCACTGGAAATTTTTAATCAGAGGAGCTAGTGATTTAGCTAAATTGGCTTTTGGAAAGATTACTTTTGGCAGCCTAAAGGAGGATGGGTTGAACTAAGTATATTTATTTTATGATTCATCTTTATTATTCTACAATATTCTTAATATTTCTTATTCATTCATCAAGACTGTGGAATGTTGTCTTTTTGATTGGTAGTTTTCTAGGTAACTGAAACATAATCCTTTAAGCACCTTAATTTCAATTTTATAATGGACAACTTTGTAAACTATTATACGTGTCCCAGCTTCAATAAATAGAACTTAATAGTTTGTATAAATATTATGGCACTACATTTCTGCCTTGCTCTTCTCAGTAATGATGCATTCTAGGGCTTCTTCTAAATGAAATGATCCTGACTCACCCACGTACTTGTTGGTGGGAAACGACCTTCTTTTCCACTCCTACTCTGTTATGTTATTGTTCAAGGTTTTCTCATCACCTTTTCTGGTCTGTGGTTGTAAACTAAGACAGAACTAATGATTGCTAGAAGAAAATGGTTAAGTAATCCTTGGTTTATACGTAACATTAAGGCAAACATGGAGGAGAGAGGGTATGGCTTCAGTAAAATCTGTGAACTTTGAGAAACTGTTTTGAGTGGTTGCCAACTGGTGTTTGATTAGATGTGGAGTTTTACTTTAAGTACTGATGGTATTTTGAACAGTGAGTTTTAAATCTGTAACTTTGAATACTCGCTTAAAACAATTATTGAGCACCTATTATGTGCAAGGTACAGAATACTGATGAAAAAGTCATGGACTCTGCCCTAAAGTGGAGGAGACATGTAAATAAATAGGTAAAACAGCATTTGTGCGTCTTCTATTACTTTTTTTTTTAATCCTCCAAGAGTGAGGATATCTAATTTCATAATAGGGAAATCTTGGGAAAATAAGAGTTATTTCAACAGTTTGCTTTTTATCATCTATATCATCAAAAAAGAAATACTCTTTTTATTTTGCTTTTAGAAGAGAAGAATAAAATGTTTTATGCAGTTGATGTGTTCATGAAATGTATTTTTGAATTTTCGATTGTGTTATAAATATATGCTTATGTATTTCGTTGTTTAAAGCATTGTTTAGATGAGTCTTTCATTAAATCAATGTGAAGGCATTTCTGCTATAGTGCAATAAATGTGTTCCTGAAAAACCTCACATGCTGCAGAAATCACGTATCTGGGGAAAATATGCATCAGGAGACCACTCAAATTCTGCAGCTTTGTAACAGTACTAACAGAAACAATACTGATCTTAACAATATTAGCATAATTTACCTCTGGCGTTTATCTCACACATAGTTGGTCACTTAAGAGTCTTAACACCTTTGAGCTTGTATTTCTTATTTTGAAATATAGGTTCTTGAGGGCATTTGCTTCAGTAGAGACTAGTTTTGTAAAAATTAAGTAATAAAGCAGGGTATAGCTGCCTTAATTGATTGTTCTTTTGGGGAGATATCGTTAAAACAATAGAAATTGTCTTTGCAACTTGGTCTCCTGATATTTTTATCAGATGACATAGTAATATTGGAAAGCTTAGAAGTTCTTGAAGCCACTGAATTTGCAGTTTTCTGGAAAGGAAGACACTTTGTTTTCACCTTTATTCTTAAGATCTTCATATACTATGAAGACTTTAATTTGAGAAAACTAGCTTCTGATCCTTCAAAACATACCGGGGAAAATCGTCACTATGAACCAATGAAATTTCCATGCTCTGTTGACATCACTCTCTTCTTTATTATTTGCATGTGAACTAATTCATATTACAGCAACATCTTGTAGCTGTACAGTGTGTACCTAACTAGTGCAGATAATTACGGTTCTCATTCAATTTTAATTAATATTTTAAAAACATATAATCTTTAAATTCTCACAGTGACAATGGCACAAATGGTCCAAACAGTTTGCAGTCTCAGTCTCTAATATGTGGCCCATAGTACATATTTACTCATGGGTAATGTAATATTTGACTTAATTTTGTTTTAAAAAGTTGGTGGTCTCCTAGTATATTTAATCCTTTGTCATATTTATAAGTATTATTTCTGTTAAGCCATGATAAAAATTGTTTATGTGAATAAGTCTGATGCTATCATAAAAGATTGAAAGAAGTGACATAATGTAGGAGAAAATGACTTAAAACCTTTTACAAGAATGCATATGGTAAGAGGTCTGATACGGAATTTTTATAGAGTACTTGCAAATTAATGCAAACATTTCTTCTTAGGTTGTTTAGTTATTTTTCCCCCTTATTAAATAAACATTGAGTGAATTTTGTTAGCTGTGTTTTTGTTTATTTACAAAAAGTAAAAGCTGTGTTTTATTTGTACACACTTGGAAAGGAACATCTCTGGGAGAATATTAAAGAAACTGGTAACACTGCCTCTGAAGAGGGATAATTGGGTATCTGGGAGATGGGGTGGGAGGGGGTCTTTGAATTTTGAACAGTGTTCAAGCCATGCTCAAATCTTGAACCATGAACTCTTCAGAAATAAAGTAACAAGACAGGGGCTTTTGTGCAGAACAGAAATTGATTTAGCCTGTCTACTAGGAATCCATGTGACCTCTGTGATCAGCTTAGTATTATCAGTCCTGTCTTATCTGTGTACTCAGCATACAGTGGGTGTGTGTTATGGCAGGCGCAGCAAAACAAAAAGGTAACCAAATTAAAATATTTATGGTGTACTTTCTCTGTGGTTGTAAGAAATTAGACGACACTATATAACTTTTAATCAAATTTAGAAATTAAACTACTGGATAACTGCTGTTTTTTTCTTGTAACCATCATAAAATCATTTTGTAAATCTTGCTACCCTTTTTGTTTGTTTTTAGTTGATGCTGATGAGATCAAAAGGCTAGGAAAGAGATTTAAGAAGCTTGATTTGGACAATTCTGGTTCTTTGAGTGTGGAAGAGTTTATGTCCTTGCCTGAGTTACAACAGAATCCTTTAGTACAGCGAGTAATAGATATATTTGACACAGATGGGAATGGAGAAGTAGACTTTAAAGGTAAGAAAGTAGTTTTTTTTTAGTTAAAAAAAAAAACAACCCACAAGTTAGATAACTTGTGAGTAGTCTTATATCTCTGTGTACAAAAATGTCTGAAAAATTTTGTTTTTCTTAAGTGTCTTTATGTTCTTGGTGATCTTATAATAATAGATTGTTAGTAAACTTCATAATCTGTGGTATGTGAACCTTAATGAGCTAAGATCCTTTAAATTTTGGATCAAGTTATCCTTTAATCTAAATTACAATATTAGAAGCTGCATTTTTTAAACTTTAAGAATGAGACTTTTACTAAGTCAGCAATAGAAAACTAAACTGCAGCAGGAAGAATGTGTGCATTACCATAGAACAGGATTAATTTAATCTGGATTTTACAAAGACACTCAGTAACACATTTGCTAATACTAACATGATACAAAATTTTATTTTTGATTGTATACTTTAAAGTAAATAAATGTTTCATTTCACTATAGAATTGTCAACAGACTCGGTAATTTTAGTGTAGAAACTAAATTATAAGTGAAGGAATCTGAAACTGACTATGATGTAGTGTTTAGCAGGCAATGAAGAAAAATGACCATTTGTCATGAAGTCTCTTAACAGTTTATGTAAATAATTCAGAATTTTTGGAACCAGAAATTCAAAATTACTTTTATTCTGGCAGAACAACTTACAACCTTTTTTTTTAAAGTCCCTTTTCATAGTCATATTCTGAAAAGAAAGTTAACTAGTTTAAAAAATATGTTTTGTTTATTTTGTTTTTGTAGTAGACTGTGCTGTCAGTAATGAATATTTGTTCAAATTGATTGGACCATAGAGACTCCAGGTTCAAATTAAAAAATATATAGAACCTTGTTTATTGAAGGTTTAAAATTTGACATTTTCCATTTCGACTCCTTGGCAATGGATTTGGTAGTAGCATTTTCTTTTTGCAGAAACAAAGTATCCTTTTGTGGGTATGTAAGGTAAACATTGTTTTTCTGTGTAAAACATTGAAACTTCTGATTTGTAAACGTTTTCTACTCTTATGCAGAATTCATTGAGGGAGTCTCTCAGTTCAGTGTCAAAGGAGATAAGGAGCAGAAGTTGAGGTGTAAGTATTTTTCTTCACTGAGTTCATCTTCCCGGTACACCACCACCCCATCCTGCATTGTAACCTTCTTTTAAAATATTCCAAAAGTTGTCTTTTATTCCAGATATTTAGTAGACATAAGAGAAATTTTATATTCTAGTGAAAATCCTTTCAGGACACTTGCAAATAGGATTTTTAATAATATGTCGTTGTTGGTATTTGTTGGATTGAGGTAAAATAGAATTGTCTTCTACTGAAAATAGCTGTATGAAATGCATATATGACTTGTATAAGAGATTTTCTAATGAAAGTGAGAAGTGTTCTAATGTGATTAGGTTAACTTGGCTTATATACATTGGGGCCCTGGTGGTGCAGTGGTTAAGAGCTCAGCTGCTAACCAAAAGGTCAACAGTGCGAATCCACCAGCAGCCGCTCCTTGGAAGCCCTCTGGGGCACTTCTCTTGTAGGGTCGCCGTGAGTCAGAATCGACTCAGCGGCAACAGGTGTTTTTGTTTGTTTGTTTATTCGGAAATATATTTAGCCAGGAGGGTCAATACTTGTTTTCTGTAAGCAGCCTGTATTATAGTGAACATCTGAAACCTTTTTAAACTGTTAAGATCTTAACCAGAAAGACATTTATTCAGTAAAAGTTCTCTGAGGCTGGAACATATGCAAATAAACCCTTGATATACGTGAGAATAATAGAAATAACAGTTGCTAACTTTTATTGAGGTTTATTTATTTTTGGCCATATTTTTATTTACTGCATGTACCATAAACATATAATACACACTACCAAAAAAAAAAAAAAACTTAAAAAAATTTAACTGTCAAGAAAGCATATAGTGTTATAATACAGTGGCACATGTCTGTATTTTATTTCAGATTGGTTTGCTTATTTGAAACCATTAATAGTGAAATGTTACTTGAGAATAATTAAAAATTACCTGTCTGCATTATTAACAGTAAGCAAGCAGTTCCAGCAAATTAATAAGAATTAACCATGTCGAATATTAGTATCCAGAAAACATGCTTTGTTCTGTGACAGTGTACATATTATTGAGGTTTTTGCTGTGTATTAGACACTGTTCTAAACACTTCATATGTGTTCCCTCATTTATGTACTCTTTACAAGAACCAAGGGCCAAGGGGTTGGAACTGCTCCTGTCGCCAGGTTTATTGATGCAGAAACCGAAGCTTCAAGGTTGAGTAACTTACCCAGGCAGTCTTGACTCCATAGCCCATACTGCCCCTAAGAGTGACTTCTTTGTTTAGGAAGGAGCCATCGTCGTAGTCTTAATTCTTATTGCTTTCTGTCTCATTGAAAATATTCCTTTGTGATTGCCTGTAATTACCGTTGATTTTCCTTTTTTTTTTTTAGTTGCTTTCCGTATCTATGACATGGATAAAGATGGCTATATTTCCAATGGGGAACTCTTCCAGGTGCTGAAGATGATGGTGGGGAACAATCTGAAAGATACACAGTTACAGCAAATTGTAGACAAAACCATAATAAATGCAGATAAGGATGGAGATGGAAGAATATCCTTTGAAGAATTCTGTGCTGTAAGTACAAAAGAGCTGGTTCTTCATTAGTTATGTTTTAAAAAAGATATTTTAAAAACTACTTAATAGAGATATCCTTATGGGTATTTTGCCTTAAAATGTGTGTATTTGATTTCCCCTAATTATCCCGTATTCAAAGTTTTGAAATGTGTTCTTTGTAGCTGTTGCTAGTAATTAACAATTATTATTCTCAAAAATTAATAATTTCAGTCTTTGACAAAATGGAACAAAAATGGTACTAGTGACTTTCACTTTTTGTTGGGAGTCTCCCATCTTACAAATAACTTATATTCTTAAGGTTCATTTAAAAGTAAACATGTTTAAAAATACTTCTACGGGAAACGTGTACGTGAGTTTCGGCTAGGGACACCAGAAACTTGGCTTTATGGAACAGCAGAAATGGGAAGTCCCTATACATCCTAAATCCACCTGCCAGGCAATGTAAATGGTGATTTTTCTCCCCATCTTTTCCAAGCTATTGATGGCTACTTGTATTCTGGGGCAAGGGCTCTGTGCAGAGGCAAGGGCTACAGTTACAGAACCAAAACCAAAAATACCAAACCCGTTGCTGGCAAGTCGATTCCGACTCATAGTGACCCTATAGGACAGAGTAGAACTGCCCCCTAGGGTTTCCAGGGAGTGGCTGGTGGATTCAAACTGTTGACCTTTTGGTTAGCAGCCGAGCTCTTAACCACTGAGCCAGTTACAGAGGGCCCCAGAAAACTAACTGTGGGTGGAAACTAAACACAGCTCAAGCCCATAACTTTGGCCCCATTGAATCTTTTTGTTCTGACTTCTCAAACCATAGAATATGCCAAGAAACTTTTGCAATTACAACAGTGGGAAAGTTGTTTTAAATAATTGCCTACTACATAATTCAGTTGCTGTGGAGTTGACTCCAACTCATGGCAACCCCGTATGTGTCAGAGTAGAAATGTGCTTCATAGGGTTTTCAATGGCTGGTTTGTAGATCATTTCAGGCCTTTTTCCAAGGTTCCTCTGGGTAAACTCAAACCTCCAACTTTCCTGTTAGCAGCTGAGCACTTTAACCATTTACACTAACCAGGGACCCCACAAACTATATAGCTACTTACAGATTTCATAGTACTTAACCTATACAAATAAATCTTATAAATGATTAGTGACAGGATTAAAGTTGTTGGATTGAACACATGTGCTTATCTTTGTTTCCTCCCAAAACCCCAATAAAATGAAATAAAAAGAAAAGCTTATAAACTAACAAGGAGAGTATGAACAGCAGCAAAGACAGCAACTAAATTTTGGTAACTCATAAAGGTTAGTGGTTAACCAGCTTAGCAGACAGGAGAATTCTTAAGCTGTCAGCTTTGCAAGCTGAGAAGCAGCCTGGTTTATAATGCAGAAACCCTGAAAGTCTCAGAATTCGAGGGCAAAAGGTAACTCTGGAAGTGGGGTTGAAGGTCAGGCTTAAAACAGGAGGATTTGGTTTAAAGTCTGTTGAAGAAGCAGTTAGAACACTGCTGCTCCACTCTTCTAGTCTGCTCAACTGGACAGCTATCTCCTGCAGCTTAGCAGGAGATTGGGGCAGGAGAAATAGTCTCTAGGCTGGAAAAAGGAGGTAGAGTTGTGGAGAGGGTATCAGAGAAGTAAGTATACATCTTTTGCATGTTGACACCTCCAGCCTTCTTCCTTGACCTGAAATCCTGACAGCTCGACTTATACTCTCCAGGAAAGAATTGGAAGAGCCTCTTGGGGTAATCTCATCTCCTCAAAGAAATGGTCCCACCAGATCACCCGTAGTGTAGCCTGAGTCAGCAGTCTCACCATACACGCAGAGATACCAGTGTCCTTTCCACAGAAGCAAAGAGCCAGGGATCGCCAGACATTTGCGGAAAACCTTAGAGTATAGGTATGAAACCAGTCCCACAAAGGAAAGAGTCTTGGAAGAAATAGATTATGCAAGGCTAGTAAAAACCTTAAGAGCAAAACAAAAGCCTATCATTATTATTTGGGGGGATATAATATATTGAATCCTTTAACAAAAATTGGATAATATATAAAAGAGCTCTTGGAAATTAAATTTAGAGATCCAGTCTAGGAGGTCTAACACCTGAATGATAGGAGTTCCAGAAAGAAAATGGAGGGAAGGAAATCATCATAGATGATTCAAAAAAATAACTCAGCCAAATGAAATGAGTTTCCAGATTAAAAAGATTTACCAAGTGTCCAGCATAGTACATAAAAATGGTCTGCACTAAGCCACATTGTCAAGAAATTTCAAAACAGTGGGAACGAAAGGATTGTTCTGCAGACATCTAAAGAGCAGTGTGGGGCTGCAGCAAGCGGGCCACTCATCCAAAGAAAGACTCAAGAATTGTAATGGCCCCAGGTGTCTCAGTAGCAGAGTTGGAAACTTGAATGCAGTGGAGCGTTGCCTTTGGAATTCTGAGGGAAAATTGTTTCCAACCTCGAATTCTCTACAAACTATCAAACTTAATAGAAGAAAGACATTTTCAGGTATACCAGGCCTCCCTTTTTCACGAACTACTGGAGGATGTGCTGTCACTGTAATAAGGCCGTAAATCAAGAAAGATGATCCAGGAAGCAGAGGGCCCAACATGAGAGAGAAATCTCCAGGGTGGCAGGCCTAGAGAGCACACAGCCCAGTTAAGAGCAGATTGGAAGGCTCTGGGAGTGATACCTTCAAGACAATAAAATTGATAGAACTGCCTATTATATTTGAATGTGTTTAGAAAGAAGAAAATCGGGGTAGAATTAATGAAAAATACACAGAACAGCTAGCAAAGGAAAAGATTGGATAGTTACTAACTGTAACAAAACAAATGTTCAGGAAGGGAAGATCATAGTTTGCAACCCCGTTCAGCTGTAAATAGTATTTTATAATTGTTTATAATGATGTAAAATGCTGAATTTCTGTCTAATCAAAATAAGGATATAACTATGTTGGAAAGGTTGGGGGATGGAAGGGGCCAGAGAGGAGTTTTAGTAATGGTCTGGGTGCTAGTAACTCGTGTTCACTTTTTGAAAAAATTGTGTACTTTTCTTTTGTATGTTGTACTTACTAAAATATATCTCCCCCAAATAGTATAGATGATTATACTTTTACATTAACATGTCAGTATCACTGGGGTGCCTGTAACAACTCTACACATATTTGATTCCATGAAAAAATAATGTGCAGAAATTTTCATTCATTTGGTACTTAATACCTTCTAGAATAGACAGTGTCCATATTTGATTTTTGAGGACAACTTCATAGTAACATCTGGTTGTCATTTAATATTTAACAACTAAAGCAGGGGTCAGCAAACTGCAGAGCAGGCCAGATCCTGCCCAAGGTCTGTTTTTTTATGTCTTTGAGCTGAGAATAATTTTTACGTTTTGAAGTATTATTTAAAAAAAAAAAGAAGAAGAAACTGCCAGAGAAGCCATATTCAGCCCACAAAACCTACAATTTGTACTCTTTGGCCCTTTGTAGAAGTAGTTTGCTGATCCCTGTACTAGAGTGCAAAAATAAAATGCCTGCTAGCCTGTGAGAAAGTAGCCATGAACATTCTAACTGCAAGCAACTGAAGTGTTCAAAAAAAAAAATCTGGCATCTGAAAATTCTTATAGTAGTACGTTTTTAAAATGACAGTTTCAGTCAGGTTGTTAGACTAGTAAAAACAAATTTCTCAAATATTGCTACGCTTGATTTGTTTCCATCTGTTGCAGGTTGTAGGTGGCCTAGATATCCACAAAAAGATGGTGGTAGATGTGTGACTCTTTTTTAAAGAGCACCACCCAACACTTTTGCTTTCTTCTCCATCTCTGAAGATCTGCTCAAGACGTCCAGCAATGCTCTCTGTGTATTTAAATGGAAGTATTTTTCTCTGTGAAGCCACATTTTCCAACATGAGCCTCATGAAGCCAACTAAGTGTTATTGAACTCTTACTCTCTCAATAACTCAGTGTAGCACTTTATAGAAGGACAGCAAGATGACAAGAGCATATCAATGTGGTGGAGAAAGGGAAGGGGTTGGCTTTTTAATTTATTTTCTTCATCTTTTATAACAAGAAAGTATCTATATATATATATGTAAATATTTATATATAGATATATGTAGCTTTCTATATATGTAGTAGGTTGGCTTTAATTTAATATACTTGATTCAGAAACAAAATGATAGAGTACAGAAGTGCCAAGCAGAACATAAAAAGTTCAAAAACGTGGATATGTACATCCTTACTTTTATTTCACACAGTTTTATATATAGATAGAAGATTGTACAATTTGAGCCGGGTGTTAGGCCAGCTAGCTTCTTTTTCCTGTACTTTCTCCTTTGAGAGATTGACAAAGCATTTGTTAATGTCCTATTATTTACCTTAATTACCTTCTTTTGTAACAAAGGCGTCTGTAACTTTATACCTATGACTATATTTCCAGGGACTACATCTCATTGCTAAGCAGCAGCTTTTAATATATTTCTGCTTGAGGAGAACGTATAGTTCAGTGCTATTGCCAAGAGCTAGTTCTTGTGTTCATATAGTGACTGCATAATGCTTATGGCTGCTTCATTCTGTTACTTCGTAACTAGGAGCTGTTACATTTATGAAATGTCCCTGAGTAAATGTAAGCTATCAGTCATGATGACTGTTTTATACCCGAAGACCAGAAGGCAACCATGATTTATCTTATGTATCACTTAATGAAGAGTTCCTGAAGTAATCATGTAACTGCTTAGGGTGTCCATTTGTTTCATTACACCGTTAAATGACTTGTCATTAAACTCACGTTTGAACCGGAAATTTCCCTTCTGTATTTCAAAAGATTTGCATCTAATCTAAATAACTGGTGATATTTAATGTGCATGTATCTATCTGAACATCCACACATACTTGTGATTTAAATGGGAGAAACGTTGCTCATCTGTATGCCAGAGAAGAGCAAACTTTTATCCATATTTATACCTCTTAAATTTCTTTACCACAAAGCATAGAGAGTGCATGATGGTTTTCTTTCTTGATTTGCCCATAGAATTTATAATGGATGATAACTTAGTAAATTTGTGTGATATAAAAGTAGTGTATCATGTTCCACCACTTGATATTATATCCCTTCCCTTTTCTGCGAAGGTACTATTGGCTGAAAGAAAAAATATTTTTGGTAGCTTTTTAGGATAGTAGTCTTTCCCTGTGTAGTTTTTCAGTAAAAACTGGTTTTCTAATCATGAGTAGGAAAGGGCAGGTTGAGTCCAGGTGAATGCATCTTCCATTGAGCACACCTGCCTGCCATCGCTGTTCCTTCAACTGAGTGCTGCACATCATGGGCTCTGTCTGTGAGAGAAAAATCCCGGTGCTTGGCGTCCTTGCATGCCATGGAGTTTTGCATGTAGATCGATTTCAAATGTACCTCTTGTTTACATAATTTGCATAATTTAAAAAGATAATGTTGCCAAACTTCGGAAATGTTAATGTTCAAACTGAAAATCTCCACTACATGTAACTTTCTTCCTCTGGGTCAGTACGTGGCTTATAATCCCAGCCAGCGGTTTGATCGGTTCCTGTGTCAACTGCCATGTGCTCTGCTTCAAGGGGGAACTCGTCTTTTGTGAATTTTTTGTACATAAGTATTTGTTACAGATATTTTAGCAAATGCTTTCTATTTCTCTTGCTTGTGCATATCTTGGCTGGCGTTACAGAAAATAGTGCAAACATTATTTCCTTACTGGGGAATGAGGGTTTTTTTTTTTTTTTTTTTTTTTTAAGTTTGTGTGTGTGGGGATGGGGGAGGGGATGGTTTATGTTGAATGTTTAGTTTTTCTTCTGCATGATATATCATGTTGTGGGATCTTTAGAAAACTTCATACTGTATGAATAAAAAAATAAAATATTTGAAACTTGCTTGAATGTGTTCACAGTGGTCTTTGGTGGGCTTCCAGTCAGTAAGATGGTCTTAATCGGTTTGTTTTTTTTTTTTAACTCTGATAAGTCCATGTTTGATCTCTGAGTATAAGTCATGGGTAAAAGAAATCTGCTTTATGACGGGGTGAAAACAAGTCATTACAATCACCTACAAAGCCCTATAGCACTCCCTCCATTCCCACCCTCAACCCCCCCAGGGCCTTTGGCAGTATCCTTTCCTGCATTAGATATCCAAACAGCTAATGCTTTGTTCAGAAGTGTTCCCGGTTCACCAGGAACTCTCCGGGCCACCCGATTTAGAAATATATATACAACCTGAGTCCTCTTTGCCCTGCTCCGTTTTACTTCATTGATAGCATGTATCTTTTTCTAACATAATTGACTTATCTGTGCCCCAGCTGTTGAAATAAAATGAATGAAAGCTCCATGCGGGTAGTGATTTTTGTCTCTGGTTCCCCGACCACCTCAGTTATCTACAACACTGCCTTCTCACGTTTACACAGTAAATATTTAATAAGTGAATTGGGTGATGCGTGACACTCTGTAAAGTACAGCTTCTGATTTTATAGTAGATGCTGTTGAGTACTTGGTCCCTTAAGAGACTGCCTTGTCATAAAAGGACAAAATTAGTATTGTTTGTTTGTCATTTAACAGCTTTGTAGAGTTCCTCCTACCTGCCAGCAGTATAGTAGGTACTTGAGATACTTCTGACAGGTAAATGGCATTCTTGGCCCAGGTGAATTCTGGGCTGTTGGGGTGTTTATACCCAGAACACTCACATTTCAGGCATGCACTGGTTATGAGATACCATCCATGGACTCTGGTTCCTTCAACTATCAGCGATACAGATTTGTTAAGCCGAAGCAAGTAGATAACGTTTAAATCCTTAGTCTTCCTTTCTTTACCTAGTTCTAATGGTTTTAGAGTAGACAGGATACTAAAAGAAGAATCTGCTTTTCTGGATAGTTTTCCAGGCCTTTTTCCACAAAGAAATGTTGTTCAAGCTCATCTATGTCTTGAACTATTAACTCTTAGTCTTCAGAAACTCCCAGATGCTCAAAAATCTCTCATTGAATTAGCTAACGTTTAAGCTAAAGTCCATTGCCACTTGAACCTCTTTCCCTTGGGCATTAAAATCTATCAGCTAACTACTCCTTGCCACATGAAGAAGCTAATCAGCTCAAATTAGTCCTTGCTCTCAAGGAGCCCTGGTGATGCAGTGATTAAGAGCTTGGGTGCTAACCGAAAGGTCAGCAGTTCGAATCCCCTAGGTGCTCCTTGGAAACCCTATGGGGCAGTTCTACTCTGTCCTATAGGGTTGCTCTAGAGTCGGAATCAACTTGACAGCAACAGGTTTTGCTCTCAGACCTCTTGAAGACTTTCTTTGACCAAATGAGTAACATTTGCACAAGCATTTTGCCAGTTGTAGGATGATTACGTACCTTGTCACTGTATGCTTTTAATAATCTTAACGATAAGCATGCTGTCCCCATCTTAACGTGTCTCTAGGTTCAGGAAAATTAGGTCATTCCCAGATACTCAATGAACATGAGTTTTCTTTCCTACCAACCTGGTTATGAGACTATGAACCGTGGAAGTGGGAACCCAAGTCTTCTGGAATGGCTTGGAGGAAACCTCAGGGTCTCCTTATCAGCCACTGAATACCCAGGAAGATGCTCTTTTCCCTCAGACCCATCCTCCAGGCAGTGTCCAACTTTAATAACCAATACGTAAGTGAACTGTTGTCAATAATTTTACTAGACAGTATCCAAAGAGGCTGTAGGGGTGGCAGAATACAATATGAGAAACACCACAGAAACATGAGTAAGTATGGAAAAGGTTTGAGGTAAATCTTCTGTGTCTAAGCCTTAAGGCTCTATAGAAGTTATTTGATGGAGGTTGTTGAGGTCAACTTCCAATGCAATGTAACCAGATTTCATTACCCCTATTCCTCCTTCAAAAAACCAAACCCACTGTCGATTCCAACTCAATAGCAACCCGGTAGGATCGAGTAGAACCGCCCCATAGGGTTTCCAAGACTGAATCTTTATGGAAGCAGACTGCCACATCATTCTTACTGGTGGGTTCAAACTGCTGACCTTTCGGTTAGTAGCCAAGTGCTTAACCACTGCACCACCTTGGAGGAATAAAACCTGTTGCCGTTGAGTCGATTCCAGCTTACAGGGTTGCTATGAGTTGGAATGGACTCAGTGGCAATGGGTTTGGTTTTTTGATTTATTCCGCCATCCATTCTCATTCCAAGAACTAGTTGGGTCCCCTCTAATTTGTCTTTCAAACCCCAAGGAGTACTACTGCTGGGGGTGGGGGTGGGGGTATAGATGTTTGACTAGGGAGGGGCCCAAAAAGTCTAAACCAAAGTTCAGCACCCCAAATTCAAGCAGCTGCCAGGGCTTGCTCTTTTGTATTTGATAGTTCTGATAAGAAAACTTCAAAAGGAAGTTAATTCAAACAATATCAAAACATTATTTCACTTTAACATAGAGAACCCATGTTTTCGCCCAGTCAAAATTAGGTTAACTTTCTGCCTCAAGTTCCTTGAAAATCAACTCAAAACATTTAAGGTTACTTAGCAATGTTTCGTTTTGGAGTGCTCTGAAAACGTGATTAAAGCTGTGGACCCACTCCCCAGACTGAGCAGGGAGTCGGGGGTGGGGGACCAAGATCTTCCAAACCCGTGGAGACTTCCAACAGCTCTGAGTAAAGGGATCTGCCACCATCACACCCATTCTCTCTCCATGCTTCAGCCCATTGTGTTGCCAAAAGATAAATCATTTTGGGTAGGATATCTTCAGCAATTTCCAACTGGATTCCCACCATGGCATGCAAATATATCCAATCCCATGAAATACACAAACTTGCAGGACAGCAGCACATGGAACTGATAGAAGTAAACGTAAGGTTAACTCAATAAAAATACTTTTTTAGTTCTTACATGAAATTTCTAACTCCTTAACATTAAAAAGTTTGGGTCAAGGGTTTTAGAGATGTACAAGAGAATGTAGTATCACAATCATATGTTTGATGAGGTATGCTCCCTTCACATTAAAAAGGCATGAAATAAATTTGATAATATTTAAATATGCAGATACTAGTTAAAAAAATCTATGTTGGCAGCAGAGTTTTCTTGGGAAGAAGATTCTACCATATTTCACCTTTACTACTTAGAAGAGAAATACATCCAACATTGGTTAATGTCTAATGACTTTCATTACACACTTAAGTGAAAAAACTCCTCACACCAACCTTGTGACACAGGTCTTTAATTTTTACAAACAGGTGCAAAGATTAGCCTGTCCTGGTTCACACAGTCTATAGCCCAAACTACTCTTAACGACCTGATTCTAACATTCGCACGACACCCCCAGGATTAAGGAAGGGTCATGAGTCATAGACTTTCTAAGATAATTCTTTTAATTAAAATTCATAGGGAAGAAATGTTTATAAATTTATAAATAAAAAACTTATAAATTCATACAGAAGAGCTGTTTAACCAACAAGTCTCCCTCTAAATGAGAGAATTACAAACTATGCAAATCTGTCTCGTGCTTTAGAAGGAAAACATTAATTATACCTAATGTGTAAGTACCATAATGGTATTAACTTCTGATATTTAAATTATCCTGAAAGCTGCTGAGTGTGACCACTATCGAACTTCTGTTTCTGCTCTGGCTGAGAACGGAAGGAGGCTTTATGAAGCGACTGAAGAATTCTTCCCAAGGTTTCCTGCGACCATTTGTAGAGTGTATGGTCTTTGTCTCTAGAGTCCAAAGACAAAGAGTCTCTAATTTGAAATCAGAATCGATCTGCTGCTCTGCTAGCCACAGCGCGGATGTTGCCATAAACCTTTGATGGAGGATTTCCTGCAGAGGAAAAAAAAAAAAAGGCTAATCTACATATACAAATACACTCACAGATACAGAAGCTACATGAAAAATGGTCTACAACCCAAAAATAACAGGAATATTTTTCCACTGGATCCATCTTAAATTACCAAAACCACCTTGAAGGAAATCATACTCAAATAGTCTCCAAAAAAATCACTTTAAAATCCTAAGAGCCGAAGGCACTAAGTTGTCAAAATATCTCAAAAAGCAGCTAGCCAGTGAGACCTGGGCACTGGAAGAGAATCGCCAGCATTCCTGAACAAGCTGCTGCCGTCCTGTAACTGTTATCAGGAGGCACTGACTTTGCTGCATGATCGTGAAAATGGAAAAAGGTGCCTGTTGATCGAAGCTGTTCAGCAGCTCCTTTTTTGCCGGATCTAAAACATGTTCCCTGCTATTCTGGAATGTCTTTTCCATGCACCTTGTCAGGGAAAGCAGCAAAAATTTAAGAACATAACCCAATAAAACCCTTTCTCTTCTCCAGTAGAGAAGCAAAACTCTGTACTCCTTCTAGGTCCATATTTGCCTACCTCCAAAGTTTTCTATTGGCTATCTTTAACATTACCCTTAGCCTAAACTGAGTTGCACATGCAGTTTGAGTTCCAAAATTCTCTCATCTGTTCTTTCCAGAGAAAACACCAAGGAAATAAACTGCTATTACCCAGAATGAGGTTGCAAATGGCAGTTCTTGCCATCTTGATGTTTTGGAAAGAGCCAAGAATGTGAACTTTCCTGAAAAGAGAAAGTGAGAGACAAGTTAGCAACAGGAAGCATTTCCTTAACTGAGTCCTGTAAGACAGAAACTCTGGAAAATCACAATACAGGTTCCTAAAAGGCAGGAGCTGCCTGACCCACCCTTGGCATTTGTCCTAGGGAACAACAAATGCCTGGTACATACTAGGTGGTGCAAACAGTTCAGTGCTCGACTACTAGCTAAGGGTTGGTGGTTCAAACCCACCCAGAGGCACCTGGGAAGAGAGGCCTGGAGATCTGCTTCTGCGATGTCACAGTCCTGGAAACACCATGGAGCGGTTCTACTCTGCACGCATGCGGCTGCCATGAGCTGGAATCCACTTGACAACCAACAGCAATAAACACTGGCTGGCTCAGCTTACGTGCTATCTGCATGGCTGTCACTGTGGCAGCACAGCACCATCCCTTTTCCTTCAATCCTTCAAGCAGCCAAGAGTCACAGGGAGCCCTGATCGTAAGCAGGGCCTTGGTGTCTGAGGATCATGGCCTCAACAGACATGTGAAAACCCAAAGGGCAGGATGCCCCACTTTTTATTTTAAAAAAATAAAAAAAGTTTGAGATTTGCTTCATATAACAGTAAGAAAAAAATAAATCCTAGGAATGGATTCACACCAAATATTAATACTGGCTACCTTCGGATGATGGGGTTATGTTTGTTGTTTCTCTTTATGCTCATCTGTGTTTTATGTTTTAATAATAAAGATGTATCTCTCATGTATAAAATGGAACCCTCATTCACTGCTGTGGAATCATAAAATGGTGCAGCTGTGGTAGGAATAGTCTGGTGGTTCCTCAAAGAGTTAAACGTTGAATCACCATACCAGTTGCTGTTGAGTCAATTCCAACTCGTGGCGACCCCATGCATGTCAGAGTAGAACTGTGCTCTATCAGGGCTTTTAATGGTGCTTTTTTGGAAGTAGATTGCCAGGCCTTTCTTCCAAGGCACCCTTGGGTGGACTCAAACCTCTAACCTTTCAGTTATCAGCCAAGTGCATTAACTGCTTGTATATGGTAACTCCCTGGTTACCATATGACTCAGCAATTCCACTCCTAATTATATACCCAAGAGAACTGAAAACATTTGTCTACGAAAAACCTGTATATGGATATTCACAGCAGCCAAAAGTGGAAACAACTAAAGATCCATCAAGTGATGAACAGATAAAACGTGGTATATCCCTACAACAATTATTCAGCCATAAAAAGGAATAAAGTACTGATTCATTCTACAACATGGATGAAGCTGAAAAATAGTATGCTAAGAATCCAGACACAAAAGGCACATACTGTATAGTTCCATTTATATAAAATGTCCAGACTAGGCAAACCCACAGAGACAGAAAGTAGATCAGTGACTGCAAGGGAAGTGGGGAGAACACCACGGGTGATGAGCACGGAGTTTCTTTCTGGAGTGATGAAAACGTTATAGAATTAAGACAGCGGTGATGGTTGCACAACTCTCTGAATATACTAAAAATCACTTTTAAAAGGTGGACTTTATGGTATCTGAATTATATCTCAATAAAAAATTATTAGAAAAGACAAAAACAAAACTAAGACGCTTCTCAATATTCTTGATGAATAATGGCTACCACCCAGTAGGTGCTTTCCCTGTGCTGGGGCTTCATATCGGTGCTTTCATTTGCTCCTCGCCTCACCTTTATCCAGCAGATGCTAGTCCCACTTTACCGATCAGAAGAGAAGTTTATGAGAAGTAACCTTCCTGAGAGAATATGCTGGCAGAGCTGGGGTTACTGAATACTGAGATATGCAAGTAATATTATACTGAATTAAAATATATGTGGGTTTCAACAGCAAAACTTTCTAAGGATTATTTAAATTTCTTCAGTACTAAGAATCATACAGACTCTTTGAATGGGCATTCCTTAAATGACTCAAATAAGATTGACGATATATAATTTTTCCTTCCCTGCCCTATATTCTAAAATGCTTTTTAAACTATCTGTATACCTAATTTTGATAAAAATGTTACTTAAGTATGAAAGATGATGAAATTGGAGACAGTGAGACTAGATAAAGTGCAAAGAGTTTTGCTACTAAACGTATCAAAGTAATGGGGGCAGTGGCTGGAAAGCAATGTAGGTCACAGGACATGTAACAGGCAAAAATTATTTCCTGTCTGGTCTATTTAATATATCTGGAACATATTGTTTTTAGGTTTATATCCTACTCACCTTATACCTTATTTTGCCAGATCATTAGTAACGTATCAAAAATAACATTTATACCTGTAGAATAATCAGAACTTACGGCTATTATCACAATTAATGTTGCTGGCTACCGTTAAGTCAGCCCCTAACTCATGGCAATCCGGTGCACAACTGGACCAGACAGTTGTGATCCACAGTTGTCACTGTCTGATTTTTTAAAGTAGATTGCCAGGCCTTTGTTCCTAGTCTGTCTTAGTCTGGAAGCTCTGCTCAAACCTGTTCAGCATCATAGCAACACGTAGGCCTCCACTGACAGGCAGGTGGTAGCTGCAAATGAAGTCCATCGGCCAGAAATCAAACCAGGTCTCCTGGATGGAAGGTGAGAATTCTACCACTGAACCACCACTGTCCTCTACAACATAATTAATATAAACTGTGAAACGTGTGGATTTCCAATTAGCCTATTTACAGCAAAAGCTACAAGACAGTACACTCCTTTAATTTCAAGTAGTTTGTAATTCAATTTGTAAGAAAAATACTGAAGATTTTAAAAGCATTTAATAGCAACATTTTCATAATAGCCCCAAACTGGAAACAGCCTAAATGTCCATCAGTTGGTAACTAAATAAACAAAATGTAACACAGACACACAATGGAATAGAACTCATCACACTCAGCAAAATGGATGACACTCAAAACATCATGCGAAGTGAAAGAAGCCATACGCAGAAGACTACCTACACAGACTGTGTAATTCCATGTATATGAATTTCTAGAAAAGGCAAACCCATAGTGACAGACAGCAGATCAGTGGACTGGGGTCGGGGGAGGAGGCTGACTGCAAAGATGCACAGGGAACGTTTGGGGTGCCTGCAGAGGTGTGAGTGTGGTGGGATCACAGGTGAACTTCACTCTGTGTAAATTATGCCTCACAAACCTGCTAAAGTCAGTTCAACGAGGAAATTTTAAGTTAACGTTTTTAAATATACTTACAAATTTAGAAATTATAATTTAATATGGTATACCAACCATAATGTGATTAGCGAATCAGTTGTACTTTTAGATTTCTAAATTAACAAAAGCTTTTAGGTTTATATACAATATTTTAAAAATGTGGAATGCATTTCAAAGGTTTTCCGATTTCTAATTCTAAAAAGCTTTTCTTATGGCTTCACGTTTCCAACCCCAGGCTCAGTCCATAAAAGTTTAAAAAATATAATACAACCTGGCTTCACATATAGAGGGCCACCAACACAGTTCCATGTTTTTAAGTATAAAGAATAGTCTAAAATTCAGCTTCTAAAAAATGATGAGCCCCTCACTTTAGAACAAAGATGAGATCATTTAAAAAGAAATTATTTCTGGATTTAGTAGCAGGCAGATCCTCTTCTCAGCCAACTGCTTTGTTTCCCAACTTCATGGCATTATATAATCTAAGCCATCTGCCAGTAAGATCCCCAGCCTGGCAGCAGAGCAGCTCCATTCTCGGAGCGGTAATCCGAGCTTCACTTCTGGCACCCTTATTTTAGGCCTACAGCATCTTACTTACGTTCCCGTATAGCTGCTCTCCAGTTTTTCACTCAACTCGCAATACTCACCTTTCTTTCATGAAGGGCCTTTATACACTTTTTTTTAAAAAACGAAAGCCTCACAAAGCATTTAAGATACTACTCCTTGCTCCCCCCTACAGATTTAACAGACTGCCCCGAAATACTATTTAAATCTTCAACTATAACATAATTTCTTTTAGTAGTGATTCTAAACATTTCCCTTATTGCTAACTGAGAAAAAAGCTATAACTTCTGAAATTTTCTCAGCTAATCTAATCTGCTTTCAAAGTAGGTGACTATTTATCCAGAACCCGATACAGGAAGTCCCCAATTTACAATGGTGTTCCATTCCAACCACCTCTCTTAAGTTAGTTCTGACTTAAGTAGGACACCTCACTTTCATTTTTTTAGTTTTATTATTGCCTTTTATTATCAATGTCTTTATAATCATAACATTGAATAACTGCAAGTGAACATCTGAGAATGTTAACAGCAATTTACGCACTGCCACACTGTATGGAGCACATATTACTGATGATAAAATGTCAAATAACAGACAGTCGTAAACATGGTTCATCGTAACTCAAGTGCATCGTAAGTCAGGGACTACCTGTGCTGACAAAGATTCTGTGGTGACATTATGCATAAAATACAAATTTTATGACATTTTTTTAAACCACCAGAAGATCAGATGTAAATTAGGACAATAATTTTCTCAAGACCGGATACTTACACATCAGCCAAAACTATTCGTGTCCTTGTCACATTCTCTATGGTGAATTTGGTTTTTCCTCCTTTGCCAGCAATTCGTCCTATTGCCCTTGACAGGTGGTCTCCCTTTAAAGGCTTAACTAAACAAGAAGAGGAATATCTCAGCAGGCAGGCCATTCCAGTGCACCACCCACCTCAACATAAAAAGTTAAATCATTAACTAAATTATCCTACTAAATGACACAAAACTGACACTTAAAAAAAAAAAAACTTGCTAATAATACAACTCATTTGATGCTATTAGAGAAAATCATGAGTCACCACTCAACAATACAAAAAGGCAGTACTTTGCAGGAAAAGACCACCACACACTCACCATCTGTAATTTCAAAAGACTCTAGGAAGAGGTCATCCAACCTGATGAGGGCAAGTGCATCCTACAACACAAAAATCGAATGCTGTGAAGGCCCTTCTCTTTGATACCTAAGAACGAGTGAAGCGGAAGTAATGCTAAACTAAAACCCGCAAACTGTAGGGCTAGAAAACTCGTTATTTTTTAAAATGCCCCAATCCATTAAAACGATTTATACAGAGTACTTTTCAAGTCCCCATTTTAGATGTCATAAAACCACTCACCTCCACCTGAAATCCCAGAATAAAGGCTTTCACAAAATCAGCTGCTTTTGTCAGAGCGCTAACATCCTTGGTTTCTTTACAGGTCTGTTAAAAAAAAGTAGAAGTTACAGCTGAAGATGAAAATAGGAGAATATTCTATCAAAATGTAAGGAAAGATCTTTTCCCATTACTATAATCTCCTTCCCTACAACTTCTTTTCAATATATTCACTACGACCCAGTATTTTGGTCGTGTCTTTAATTTGCAAAATAAAACTTTCCCAGCCGCAGAACCAACTAAAGTCTGTCCAGTGACTGCACTAAGTGGCTGATCTGACTCTGCAGCAGACAGAAGCTTCCTCTGGCACTGCAGGATCGCTCACATTCTGAAGGACCTTCTTATATCCCTATAACACCCAAGCTGGTCCTCTTCCCTTCTCCCTGGAGTCCTACCTAATCTCCTGACTTCAGCTTCCATTTACATGCTGTTTCCCAAAGCTACAACTCCAGTCCTAACTACTTGCACCCTGGGTGCTGTTGTTAGGTGCCTTCCAGTCAGTTCCGACCCTTAGCAACCCTGTGTGAAACAGACCAAAACATTGTCCTGTCCTGCCCTATCCTCAAAATTGTTGCTAGGTTTGAGCCTATTGTTACAGCCACTGTGTCAATCCATCTCATCGAGGGTCTTCCTCTTTTTCACTGACCCTCTACCTTATCAAGCATGACATCCTTCTCCAGGGACTGGTCCCTCCTAATAACATATCCAAAGTACATGAGACAAAGTCTCACCATCCTCACTTCCAAGGAGCACTCTAGCTGTACTTCTTCCAAGACAGATTTGTTCATTCTTCTGGCAGTTCATGGTATAGTCAATATTCTTCACCAACACCGTAATTCAGAGGCATCAATTCTTCTTGTATATTCCTTATTCGTAGTCTAGCTTTCCCATGGGTATCAAGTAATTGAAAATACCATGGCTTGGGTCAGGCGCACCTTAGACCTCAAAGTTACATCTTTGCTTCTCAACACTTTAAAGATGTCTTTTGCAGATCTGCCCAATGCAATATGTTGTTTGATTTCTTGACTACTGCTTCCATGGGTGTTGATCGTGGATCCAAGTAAAATGAAATCCTTGACAACTTCAATCTTTATCTATCATGAATTTGCTTATAGGTCCAGTTGTGAGGATTTTTGTTTTATGTTGAGGTGTAATCCATACTGAAGGCTGCAGTCTTTGATCTTCATCAGTAAGTGCTTCAAGTCCTCTTCGCTTTTAGCAAGCAAGGTTATATGATCTGCATATTGCAGGTTGTTAATAAGTCTTCCTCCAGTCCTGATGCTGCATTCTTCTTCGTATAGTCTAGCTTCTCAGATTATTTGCTGAGCATACAAAGTGAATAAGTACAGTGAAAAAACCCTGACGCATACCTTTCCTAATTTAAACCACCCACTATCCTCTTGTTCTGTCTGAATGGCTGGCTCTTGGTCTATGTATAGTTTCCACACAAGCACAATTAAGTGTTCTGAGATTCCCATTCTTCACAATTTTATCTATAATTTGTTACAATCCACACAGTAAAATGTCTTTGCATAGTCAATAAAACACAGGGAAACATCTTACTGGTATTCTCTGTTTTCAGCCAAGATCCATCTGGTATCAGCAATGATATCCCTTATTCCACATCCTCTTCTGAATCTGGCTTGAATTTCTGGCAGTTCCCTGTTGATGTACTGCTACAAATGTTTTTGAACTATCTTCAGCAAAATTTTAATTTGCGTGTAATATTAACAATATTGTTTGATGATTTCCGCATTCTGTTGGATCGCCTTTCTTTGGAACGGGCACAAATACGGATCTCTTCCGGACGGCTGGCCATGTAGCTGTCTTCCAAATTTCCTGGCACAGATAAGTGAGTACTTCCAGTATTGCATCCGTTTGTTGAAACATCTCAATTGACATTCCATCAATTCCTGGATCCTTGTTTTTTGCCAATGCCTTCAGTGCAGCTTGGACTTCTTCCTTCAGGATCATTGGTTCCTGATCATATGCTGCCGCCTAAAATGGTCGAACATTGATCAATTCTTTTTGGTACAGTGATTCTGTGTATTCCTTCCACCTTCTTTTGATGCTTCCTGTGTTGTTCAATATTTTCTCTGTAGAATCTTTCAACATTGCAACTTGAGGCTTGAATTTTTTCTTCAGTTCTTTCAGCTTGAGAAGTGCCAAACATGTTCTTCCCTTTTGGTTTTCTAACTCCAGGTCTTTGCACATGTCATTATAATACTTAACTCTGTCTTCTCCACCCACCCTTTGAAATCTTTTGTTGAGCTCTTTTACTTCATCATTTCTTCTATTCACTTTAGCTACTCTACGTTCAATAGCAAGTTTCAGAGTCTCTTCTGACATCCATATTGGTCCTTTCTTTCCTGTCTTTTTTGCTTTCTTCACGTATGATGTCCTTGATGTCATCCCACAACTCATCTGGCCTTCAGTCGTTAGTGTTTGTTGCATCAAATCTATTCTTGAGATGGTCTCTAAATTCAGGTGGGATATACTCAAGATTCTGCTTTGGCTCTAGTGGACTTATTTTAATTTTCTTCAGCTTCAACTTGAACTTGCATGGGAACAATTGATGGTTTGTTCCACAACTGGCCCCTGGCCTTATTCCGACTGATGATATTGAGTTTCTCCATCATCTCGTTAAACAGATGTAGTTGATCTGATTCCTGTGTATTCTATCTAGTGGACTCGACGTGTATAGTCCCGTTAACGCTGTTGAAAAAAGGCATTTGCAATGAAGAAGTCACTGGCCTTGCAAAATTCTATCATGCAATCTCCAGCACCGTTTCTATCATCAAGGCCTTATTTTCCAACTACTGATGCTTCTTCGTTTCCAGCTTTTGCATTCCAATCACCAGTAATTATCAGTGCATCTTGATTACATGTTTGGTCAACTTTAGATGGCAGAAGTTGGTAAAAATCTTCAGTTGTTTAATCTTTGGCATCAGCGGTTGGTGTGTAAATTTGAATACCGTACTTTTTCACAAATACTGTGCACCTTCTAAATTTTTTTTTGCCAACCGTGCCCTCCCCTCAAGCTATTTTCAAAAGCACTACTATGCTAATTTTTTTTTCACGTTGCTGCAAAACGAAATTAGTATAGTACACTTACGAAAATACCACAGGGGCAGGGTGCGGTTGGCAAACAAACATAAAAGGCACGTTATTTACGTGAAAATTCAGTAATAGTCGTATTAACTGGTCTTCCTTGTAGGCATATGGATGTTACCCTATCACTGACAGCGCTGTACTTCAGGATAGATCTCAAAATGCTTTTTTGACAATGGATGAGATGCCATTCCTCTTCAATCTGTCATTCCTGGCATAGTATACCATGACTGTCGGATTCAAAATAGCCAGTACCATCCATTTCAGCTAATGCCTAGGATATCGATGTTTATCCATTCCATTTCATTTCTGATGACTTCCAACTTTCCTAGATTCATACTTTGTACATTCCACATTCTGATTAATGGATGCCTGCAGCCATTTCTTCTCATTTTGAGTCGTGCAAATGAAGGTCCTGAAAGCTTGACTCCATCCACTTCATTAGGGTTCACTCTACTTTGAAGAAGCAGATCTTCCCCAATTGTATTTCGAGTGCCTTCCAAGATGAAAGGCTCATCTTCCAGCACTATATCAGACAACACTCTGCTGCTATGCATAAGATTTTCACCGGCCAATTTTTAGAAGTAGATGATCAGGTCCTTCTTCCTAGATTGTCTTAGTCTGGAACCTCTGCTGAAACCTTTCCACCATGGGAGACTCTGATGATATTTGAAATACTAGTGGCATAAGTTCCAGTATAACAGTTAACATGCAAGCTACCACAGTATGAAAACTGACAGAAAAGTGGTGGTCACACGCAATAGAATGGCTATTATCAAAAAAAAAAAAAAGGAAAATAAGAAGTGTAGGCAAGTATGTGGAGAAATTGGAATCCTCATCCATTGCTGATAAGAACGTAAAATGATGCAGCTGCTGTGGAAAACAATGTGGTGTTAAACATAGAATTACCATATGACCAACCAATTCCACTCCTAGGTTAAATACCCTAAAGACTTGAAAGCAGGGACTCAAATATACTTGTATACCAATGTTTACTGCAGCATTATTCACAATAGCCAAAAGGTGGAACAATTCTCTGTCCATCAGCAAAGAAATGGATAAACAAAATTACCCACAAAAATAATGAAATATTCTTCAGCTACAAAGAGAGATGAAATTCTGATACATGCTAGGACATGGATGAACCTTGAAAACATTATGCTGAGTGAAACAAGTCAGCCACTCATTACTCATTGCCATCAAGTCGATTCTGACTCATAGCGACCCTATAGGACAGAAGATAACCGCTCCACAGGGTTTCCAAGGAGGAGCTGGTGGATTCAAACTACCAACCTTTTCGTTAGAAGCCAAGCTCTTTAACTACTGCACCACCAAGGCTCCTCAAAAAGACAAATATTAAATGATCCCACTTCTATGAAATATCCAGAACAGGCAAGTGCATGGAGATCAAAGTATTAGAGGTTACCATAGGCTTGGGGAGAGGGGAATGGGGAGTTTTTGCTTAAGGTGTACTAAGTTTCTATTTGTGATGATGAAAAACTTTCGGAAACAGTTAGTGGTAATGGTTACACAACGTGGTGATATAATTCACAATTTTCTGAAGTGTACGCTTAAAAATGGTTAAAACTGCAATTTCTCCATTATATATATTTTACCACAACTAAATTATTTGAAAAAAAAAAAAAGAAAACCTAGGCCCTAGTTACAATTCTATGTGTCCTTGGGTAAGTCACACAGATACTCTAGGTCTTAAGTTTTCTCATCTGTAAAATAAGGACATTAGTGTGGAAGATACTGAGGGATCTCTAACAGCATCAAGATTCATTTACTAGCTTGATGACTTTAGCCAAGATACACAACTTCTGTGACCATCAGTTTCCTCATATCTATAATATGGAGGCTATCATCTACCTCACAGGGCCGTCTTAAAGACCAACGATGTAGCGCACGTCAAAGTACCACTATGAGTCTTGTATACAAGTGTCAACAATGCTGTTGTTTGCTGCCAATGAGTTGGCCCCCAACTCACGGTGACCCCATGCACAACAGGATGGGACCATTGTGATCCATAGGGTTTTCATAGGCTGATATTCAGAAGTAGACTGCCAGACCTTTCTTCCTAGTCTGTCTTAGTCTGGAAGCTCTGCTGAAACCTGTGCAGCACCACAGCAACACACAAGCCTCCAATGACAGACAGGTTGTGGCTGCACTTGAGGTGCACTGCCCTCTTCAACAAATGTTAATGGGATCCAAATCAATGCTGCTGCAATACATTAGACAGCTAAGCATAACAAAAGTTGGGTGCTAAAGAAATGACTCACAAATCAACCAATTATAAAGGAGGAAGAACTTGAGACAGACCCTGGAACATGACCGGAACTGAAGTAGGAAGAGCAAGAGAATAGGGAGGAGAGGACCTTCTTCAGAGGGAAAAGCTACCCAGAAGTATGGAATAGAAATGTTCAAAGAGATTATGAAAAACCAACTTGGGACCAGAGTCCATTACTTGAAAGGCATGTCCACTTAAAAGCTTAACTCAGGATATCATGATAAAAGCAACACGGTCAGGGAAAGTTAGCATAGAGGATGTATTTGAGGAAGGAGAGACTTAAAGCAACAAAACAAGGGAAACCTACAGTGAAACCAAGTCTTGGCATGAAACCATCAAAACCTGAACGAGACTGGCAACAGGGACAAACAAGGATTCTACTGTCAAGTTCAATATTATGAACTTTACCAACTATTTAGAGCAAGGCCTCTCTGCTTTGTTCTCTTATCACACACAGTTCATCAACAGAGATGAGTCTACACCTGCCATAACGATAGTATAAGAATTCTCAAAAAGGAGGCTATTATAAGTAATTTTGGTGATGAATTATGATACAAAATACCATGAGAAAAAAGTCCAAAGTTAATTGATTTAAAATGTTTTGTTACTCCCAGATTAAAGGAGCTCTGCTCGGTGGTTCAAACCCACCAGTCACTCTGTAGGAGAAAGACCTGGTGATCTGTTCCCATAAAGATTACAGCCTAGGAAACTCTATGGGGCACTGCCACTCTGTCATACAGGGTTGCTATGGGTGGAAATCGATGTGAAGGCACACAACTGTTGATCTTCTGGTTAGCAGCCAAGTTCTTAACATATGTGCGTATGTATGTGTGTATGCGTGTATATGTGTGTATATATATACATATGTACGTATATATATGTGTATATGTATATATGTATATAGTAGCCCTGGTGGCACAGTGGTTAAGAGGTCAGCTGACAACCAAAAGGTTCGCAGTTTGAATCCACCAGCTGCCTTGAAAGCCCTATGGGTCAGTTCTACTCTGTCTTACAGGACCGCTATGAGTAGGAACTGACTCGACGATAACGGGTTTGGTATACACACGTACGTAACTTATTTTTACATTTACATATCTTTGCACTCAACAGAATATATATATATCTATTTGATGTGTATATATATATATTTCTTTCTTCCTATACTATTAAAATATACAGTGCCTGTACTGCTGCAACCAGTAACTAAAACCTTGCGTATGCCTATTTATGTCACTCACATACTTCTGCTTAGGACAACCCCTTTCTTCGGTCTTCTCAAGTCAACACAGTACATTATAAACAATATGCAGAGACATAGCCAGTATCCTGGTATGATTTCAGACTTAATTTAGGGATTCAATTAATATTTGTGTTGAATGTATGTTTTGAAGGCATTTAAGAAGTTCAAACTCAATACATATTACAAAACTGGAAGAAACCATTTAACAAGTCCCATTCAACAAAGTCTATTCACTCCTTGGTCCCTGTAGAAGAAAGAAACCCTAGTATATTTGGAACTCATTGACACTCTCCTTACCCTGATTTCTACATTCCTCGATTTCAAGTTAAAGCGTATCTGAAGTCCCAGATGTTCCACAATAGGAGTAAATATCTTCATCCAGTTCTCTTTCAATGGTGTGTATCTGTTAGCTGGGACTGGAATTTTCCTTGTTTCTTCTTTCCCACCCTACAATATAAACGAACACACAACTTAGGAGATATCTGGAGGGGTGGGGATGGAGCTGTAAAATGACAGCTGATCCACAAAAATCTTCCTTTAAACTGAACGAGTTAAACCTCCGGAGAATCACTTATCTAGGAGGAACCTCACTTCATAAAAGCACCGCAGCTTCAACATCACCCAGAGGTTTGACCCGTTCCTGACGCCTGCCCCGTTCCTGTCCGGGGTCCCCGCCCGTACCAGGAGCCCATCCCCGGAGAGGGGCGGGAAGACGGGCCTCTTCGCGGGCCGGGCCTCCTCCGTGTCCATGCGGCCCGCGTCTCCACTCTCCCCCGACGCCGACAGCTGCTCAGCCTGCCGTTTCTTGGCCCTCCGGCCACCCCTGCGGGTGACCTGGGTGAAGCCGTCCTCGGCCCCGGCGCTCTGTGCCTCCATCTCGCCTTCCATCCCCCGGAATCTCCAGCCCGGCAGGCACTTCCGCCTCCAACACGTGCGCAGCCGCACCCCGCAGGCGTACCCTGACAGACCCCGAGAGCGCCACCAGCCCCAGGACTCCGCCCCCTTCCCGAAGAAGTCCCACGCGGGGGTCCTGAATCAGGATTTTGTTAATATCGGTGGGGGCTATCCTACAATATGCCTGATTTTTATGACCTCCCTCCGGCCGTGCAACTCACAGATAAAGCATTTTGTAATCTCAAAACTGTATACGTAAGAAAGTCAGTCATAAAAGCGATAAACAAATTTGTGTTGTCCGTAAAGGAAAATTTGTGTGTTCCCAGTAGTATATCTGGCATTATCTTAGATAACTAAATCCACCTAGCGAGGCCTGAGTACGGCAAGCGGGAGAGACAAACTGTCGTTAATGTTTGGAGTCTGGTTTCCAGGTTAGTGTTTGGTCCGGGTCCGGCGGTGGCAGTTGACGGAGGTGGAATTTGCTGGGCTATGTCGGCCTTTGAGAAGCCTCAGATCATCGCCCATATCCAGAAGAGCCTCAACTACACGGTGTTTGACTGTAAATGGGTGCCATGCAGCGCCAAATTTGTGACCATGGGCAACTTCGCACGGGGCACCGGCGTCATTCAGCTGTATGAGATCCAGCACGGGGAACTGAAGCTGCTTCGGGAGGTGGGTGATGGGTCGAGACTGCCCACTTCAGGATCTGGGAATGTCTGTAAGGGAGCAAGTACCAATCCTGGGGTTCGTATTCTTCTTTGCCCAAAGCCTTTGACTAGCATCTCTCCAAAACACAGCTCGAGCTGCGCAAGACGAGCGAAGCTGACCGCACACTAAGGAATCTTTCCAACTTAAAATGCTTTTGTTGGAGCCCTGAATTCTCTTCAGCTGGCTGGTTCATCCACGCCTTGCCGGCGTCTTTCTCCAGCCATCCCCAGCGCAGTCCAGCGCGAGATCTTTGGGAGGTGACGTTAAGCATTCGTGTCTAAGTTCGAGACCTTTCTCGGCAGTTCGCATGTTTGCTGAGAGTTTGTTACTACGCCCATGTTAGCAAAATGCTTTTTCACACCAGCAGACCCAAAGCGGCGCCTACCCCCAGGGAACCTTTAGTGTAATTGGAGGAGACAACCTTACACATTTATTCATTCTTTCAACAAGTATCGGTTGAGGACTTGGTATTCCCAGGCATGTGAATGGCAAGGTCCCCAATCTCATGGAGTTTATTTTGTAGTAGGGGAGATAATCAATGAAATAAGTTCTTTAAAATAAAGGACCACGGTTCTATGAGAGTAAAAACAGATTTGGGATGGGTCGAAGCCTCAGTGGTTAAGCGCTTGACTGCTAACTGAAAGGTCAGCGGTTGGAACCCACCAGCCGCTCTGCGGGAGAAAGATGTGGCTGCTTCTGTAAAGATTTACACCTTTGGAAACCCTAGGGGGCAGTTCTGCTGTGTACTATAGGGTCGCTGTGAGGCTTGAATTGACTCGCTGGCACCCAACAGCAACAACAGAAGCTAAGTAAGACAAACTGGGAGTGGAGAATGAGACTTCCAGGAGATACAGCATATACGGAAGCCCAGAGGTGGAGAGGGTTTTTATCACTTAAGAAACAAGAGGGATAATCAGGGACCAGACCTTGCAAGATATGTAGGCCATTTAAAGGATTTATGCCTTTATTCTAATAGAAATGGGATGTCCTTGAAGGGCTTTAAGTAGAGTGTGGCAAGATCAGATTTACAAGTTTTTTAAAAGATCACTAGTGAAAGAATTAGAAAATAACAATAACCAACATTTTTATAGCTCTTCACAATTTAAAAAATGCCTTGATTTGGGTTGCCTGGAAAAAAGAAAAACGATCGGGCATCATCAGATGTTTAGTATTGTAATAGACTACAAATGCAGGGAAGCTTGAGAACTCCAGGGCTCAAAAGCTATGGAGAGAATCCGCTTGGAGGAGGTGACAGTTAAACTGGTAAGTAAAGGATGAACACAATTTCAGTAGGCAAGTTTAGATTAGAAGGTATGCAAGGCCCCAACCCACTTTAAAGTTTCCGTGAGTGACTGTTTTCTTGTTTTACCACCACTTAGCCACCAGGCACTTGTTGCTATTTTAAGATCCAGTTCAGATTGTCAATTTACAAAGCCTTTCCTGATCCCCACACAAAGTAAGTTTTCTTTACACTGTATTCCTGTAGTACTTATTGTCTGTGCCAGGAGTGCATATCCTGTCCCATTTATTTCTGACTAGATTGTAAGCTCTTTTCCAGTAAGGACAGTGCCTTTCTATAGTGTTGTCAGTAAGGAGCAGCCACTCAATAAGTATTTGTTAAAAGGATGAGTGAACATAAGTCTGTAAATAGGCTGTAACTTGGGAAATTTAAATATCGGTCTATTAATCATTAATCAACTGTGGATTAGGAGTTTGAACAAATGAGGAACGTTGGAGTGGTAGGGAGAAACTTAAAGCTGAAGTATTAGGAACAAATGCCAATAGAAGCTCGAGTAGAGAGTATCTACAGACTTGTGACTTTTTTAATAAGAATATATGATTTGTGCACTTTTCAGGAATACACTTATTCCAGAAAGTGAAATATTGCTCTTTGTCTCTTGTAGAGATTCTAGCAAATTTTAAGTTTTGTTTGTTTTTGTTTTTACTTTTGCTTTTGAACAGAAGTAATATATCTTCATGATAGAACATTTAGAAAATATAGATAGGACAAAGAAGACTATTAATATCAGCTATAATCTCACCCCAGGAATATCCACTTTTTATATTTTCACCTGTATCTTTTGGGGTCTTCTATTTTTTTTTTTTTTTTTTTCTGTATAAACTACGTACTGAGAAACTAATATTTCATGGTACTATGCTAAGGAAGGACCAAAGATATTTGAAAGATGAGTCCTTTCCCCTAAGGAGCCTTCCCTGTCAAAACAGAGTAAAACAAACTCAAAAACACATTTAAGAACTTAGATTGTATTTGGCTGTGATGGTGCAATGGAAAAGAATATAGGTTAAATATAGGCACAGTGGTTCGCAACCCTTACTGTGCCTGTGCATCAGGATCATCTGAATGTGTTTTGTTACCCTTACTTGTTTTTCATTTTAAAATATTCATTGTTTGGCCCCACCCTTAGAAATGCTAATATAATGGGTCTGGACTCGGGTAAGGCCTGGAAATCAGTATTTTTAACCACCCCCCTCCCCCCGGAGATTCTAATGCATTGCAGGGTTGAGAACCATCGAGCTAGGTGAAGTATTTATTAAAATATTAGGAAACATACTTGATTTAGTCAGCGTGAAGCCACCTTAAGTCATGTGCTCCAAATCCTATGCAACCAAGATAAAAACGAGTGAAGGAAGCAAATCAGTCTTTATGATGCCTTCCTTATCTTGTTGGTAAGAGGGTAGACAGGGAATGGAGGGCAGGGTTTCCATGGACAGTAGAGCAGTTTGTTGTACTACCCAAACAAAGGTGCCTGAGCAAGGGTTCGATGGGAGCTAAAAGCCACTTCTTGTTCCCTCAAGCCTTACTCATATAAAACTTCATCAGCCTATAAAGAACAGCTTTTTTTGTAATTGGCACAAGGATACCGTATGGACTAGAGGTGGTCCTGAAAGACAGAATCATGGTTACGGATGTTTATACTGTAAAAATTAATAATAAGCTAATAAAGTTCTGCTGTTTTAGCCCCTTTGCCACTGAATACACTACTTGTTAGCTTTGGTTGACTGAACCTTCTAATGTTAATTAAGTAGTGCCAGGATGTGGAGGAGGAAATAGTGACAGGCTGTACTAGACCCACCCACAGACAGAACAGAAATAGCTCTCACGGGAATTATAGATCATGAGTTTCTTAAATAATGTTAATTTATTACTGTAGCAAAGAGAACCAACAACTAGGCCAAGTACGACCAGCATTGATGGTTGTTTTCAATGTCATGTAGCAAAAGTTATTAATATAAACTTCATTTTTTTTTTTTAACCAGTTTTCTAATGAAAAATTTGAAGTAGGCACCTAATTCTTTTCATCTTTTCTTTCCAAAGGTAAAATATCATAACGGGCAAAGAGGGAGCCCTTTTATGACCTTTAAAAAATTATCTTTGCTCCAGTGTCCTCTTAATTTAACTGCTGTTAACGATTTCCGGGAATGTCTTAGGACAGAGAAAACATGCCTGCCTTTTAAGTCCGTTTGGCAGCATTGCTCAGCCCTTTTGAGCAAATGAAATGCAGTCCCACCTGTTCCATGCGGATTCTAATGTGTTTATACATCTGAGTTTATTTTTAATAAGTTGATACATTTTGAGTTTAATTTGATTTTTGCAAATTTGACCCCTAGTATCTTTAAATCTCTTTATGTTCCTTTGATTTAGGAGGAGAGGAAGAAGATGAGGGAAGCATAATACCATATATTTCTATCTTGTAAAGATAAGAATGAAGGTAAAAACCAGTGGATAGAAATCTGAACGTAGTTTAATTCATGCCTGTGTCCACTAACCTCCCCAGCCCATTGCAGGATTAGAACATTTCTTTGGTACTGTTTACTAATGACTCTCAGATTTACAAAATGGGAGCTACGTCATAAAATGTTTATTTACTTGCTTTACGTATGTGTCTGGAAGTAGCTTAATTTAGTGGAAAGAGCTTGGAGTCTACCTGGCTCTTGGGACCTTGGGCAAGTCCTCTAAGCCTCAGTTTCCTCTGCTTGAAAGTGGCTTTCCAAACACTTGTACAGTGTTGTATGTTTTAGAAAGAGAAAGGGTGTTCTAGTCTAGAAAAACACCTAGAATAGTATCTGGTATGTAGTTGTTCAATATATGGATGCTATTTTCATTATTGCATGTAAATTACATTGGGAACTGCATGGTCTGTCAGAGCCCTGGGATGTGAAAACGTGGCGGTAGTACATGGAGAAAAGAAAAGAGCAAAGTGAAGTCTAGAGTGATTTCTCTCTCCTCAGCACTGACTGAGAAATTAATAGTTGTTCATTTATACTGTCGTTCAACAAACGTTGAGCACCTACTACTTGTTGAACAAATTAGACAAGGCCTGGCTCTCTGGTGTTCACGTTCTAGGAAGGGGGCAGATAGATAATTGAATGAATAAGATAATTTTGTTGACAAGTGCAATAAAGAGGATCACGGGGGTGAGGTGACAGTGATTAGGGAGAGTATAGGGGGTTCCACCTCAGACTGGGGGGGCAAGGGAGCCTCTTGGGAGAGGTTAACATTTGAACTGATGTCTGAGTGAGGTGAAGAAGGGAGACGTGATGATGGGGGGTGGGGGTAGCGGTAGCGGGGAGCAGTTCAGCAAAATGCAAATGTCCTGAGGTGGAAATGACCTTGGTGTGTCTGAAGAAGAAAAAGAACGCAGCTGTGGCTGGAGTGTAGTGGAGAGAACTAGAGTAGCAGCAGGTGAGGTCAGAGAGAAAGGCAAGGTCAGATTTTAAAGAGTTTTGTGTATTTTGTATGCCACAGGCCTTGGTGCCACTCCTGTGGGTCTAGGGGTACCTCTAAACGTAGATTCATCTTAATTTTTTATATTTGTAATAAAGACCCATTTTTAGCATCCATGCAGTGGCAATTGCAGAAATATCTAGTATAAGGCCTGCCATGTAATAGACTGGTTCTCAGTTTGTTTTCTTCCTCCTAAGATTGGGCTTTTCAATTGTTCAGGTGTCAGAGCATCTGAACATCGTGATACCGGTTTTGGAACACCATGAAATATTGGAGCAGTCAATTTCATCTCTGAACAAGGGGGAGTTTTTCCAGCAGAAAAATCTGACTATATTGTGCACATTCTGATCTTTATGTCACAAGAAGTCTTCATACTTTTTTCCCGGTTTTCCTGTCGGTGTTCATTTGCTAGTGTTTTCTTAAAGACAAACTTATTTAAGAAAATATAATTTTAAGAAAAACATTTCTAATGACTAATTTTTTGTGTGAATTTTCTAATTACCCTGTTATTTTATGTTAGTACCAGAAGGTCAGTGTGTTCCAGGAGCATAGTTTGAGATTCTCTATTCTAAGAGATCTAAAAAGGTGAAAGAATAATAGGGAGGAGAGTTTTTGCTTCTAGTTTTTTACTACTGACAGAAAAACCTTTTAGAAAATCTTGGAAGAGTTGGGTGCTGAAAAGTGGGGGTTAGCTTTCGGCTCTGCCACGGCTTGTGGAGAATAGGAGCCCTCGTTACAGGCTCCAGGTGATGGGAGTGGAATTATGGGAAGCAGGATGCGTGAGCTGGCGGAAGAGAAGAAAATGGGCCGCCAGTCTTCCCAGTGCTTCTCTGAGAAGAATTTTCCAGAGGGTTGTATCAGATAGATGATGGCAAGTCTCCCGCAGCTCCTAATCACCCTAGTCTCCTGGAAACACATTCCTGTCCATCAGGGCCCACCTGCTTCTTATCTTGGAGGCCTGTTTTTAGCTTCTGCTTCAGATTTTGGGAGCCATTGTCAATGGCTTAGAGCTGGGGGAGACCCAGGCCCAGTAAGACAGATGGGAGAAGGAAGTAACTGTTTCATCAGTTTGAACTCTGAATTAATTTAACCATAGAAATTGTGGCCTAAGAGTGGCTAAATGCTATACCACTATTAATACATTTCGGGTACCAGTACTGTACTTTTATTTGGGCAGAAGAGGCAGGAAGGACTTAAGTGGTTTGGAATTGGAAACTGTCTCTGTTGTTTAATGACAAAATGTTGATCCTCAAAATCAAATAGTGGTTAATTATTTGCAGTTAATACTGATGCCACCTTGAATCACCTATGCATTAAAAAGAAAAAATCACTTTCTGTGATTCTGTGCTTCTCATCAATATGATCTTTTATAATCATGCTATTATAGATGACTGATTTTGTTTACTGGACAACTTCAAGGAGGCTGTGAATGCTTTATTTTAGACCTGGCTACAATGGTAACTGCTCATTTGTCCAGATCCCAAACAGAAAACTCAACAAGCTGGGAGTTTCCAAAGCCCTATACCATATAGTGATATCTTTTGAATTGTGAAAAAGAAAGTTCAGTTATAATTTCAGTGTTAAGTGAATTGTATTTTCTTCTTTGAAACCCGCTGTGTGTATCCTATATGGAAATGCTCAGCCAAGAATTTAAAGTGCCAGGGAGATTATTTTTTAAATTATTTGAAACAGTCATTCTTAGTGGGAGGGATGAGGGTTGGCCCAGGAACCGAAGGGTTACAAATGCCCTGGAAACTGGAGAATTCAGCAGAGGGAAAAGTTTATCTGGATATATTGTTAAATGAAGAAAGTCAAGTGAAAGAACAATATACTGTGACCTTCCTTGTGGTAAAAGAAACCTTTGTGTAAGTGTGTAGAAAACGGTCTGGAAGGGTGGGGTTACTTCGGGTGGGTGTTAAAGGGAGACTCACTTTCTACCTTCCATTCTTTGGTTTTGTTTGACTGTTTACAGGGAACATGTATTATTTTTGTAAACTTTAAGAATAAAAAAAAATATTGTAAGAGACTAAGAAGGAGTAGTTTTGCCCAGTTGAGGCTGACGGTCAGTGGGAGGTGATCCAGGGCGAGAGTGTGGAGTGGGCCAGGTTGCCATCCAGTCGACTGACCCACGGCAGTGCCACGGGTGTCAGAGTAGAACTGTGCTTCGTAAGGTTTCCAGTGGCTGATTTTTCAGAAGTAGATTGCCAGACCTTACCTTTCAGTTAGCAGTAGAGTGTGTTAACCTTGTGTACCCAGAAACTCCATCTAGTTCCAGATTCCAGTTTCCAGGAGCCAAGCAACAGGAAAAGCAGTTAGAGATTTCAGTGACCTGGACAAGTGGAGTTGGGAATGGGTCGGGGCAGTGGAGAAATTGAAAACCTCAGGGAGTAAAGGAGCTTAGTCAAAGACCAAGGTATAGGAGTCCCTGGGAGTAGTATAATGATTAATGTTTGGGTTGTAAACTTGAGGTAAGGGGACATCTCATTCATCTTTGCATCCTCATCTACCTAGTTCAGTGCTTTACATATGGTAGAAATTTGTTAAATGCTGAACATGTGAGCCAAACAAATCAGTGAAGCTCTGGGTTTTAGTCTACTCGTTGTCTGTGAGAGGAGGATATTGTATTAGATCGTTTCCAAGGACCCTTTCCACGATACAGTCCTCTTCGTATGATTTCTGTAGGTCCCATACCTTAAATAGTGTACTGTATGTAGTTGTTTTACTAATGTAACTATATACAATATGGGGAGCGGTAACCTTTCAAGTTAAAGAAACCTCCAAAGATTGACTAATTCTTTGGCTGACAAAACCAAGCCTAACCCGTTCCTGTCAAATCAGTTCTAACTCATAGTGACCCTGTAGGACAGAGTAGAATTGCCCCACAGAGTTTCCAAGGAGGGGCTGGTGGATTCGAACTGCCAACCTTTTGGTTAGCAGCCTGAGCTCTTAAGCGCTGCACCACCAGGGCTTTGGCTGATGGGTATACAAGTCTCTGGAGAAAATGGGACGTAAACATCTTTTGTTTGTAAGGTTCTGCAGGAAGGCACATAAACATTTTTGTTCCTATAGCCATCCAGAAAGAATAATATCTTCATTATGTTTTCATTTCTACTGAGGATCTCTCGGAAGGATGCTATATTAAATGCTGAAATTTTCATATTTGCAAATCATCGGAGATGGTGGAATTGTCAACATTTGGATGTCCCATTTGGGAGATGAGAGGAAGGGCAAATAGAAATACAATTTTAAAAACCTAATAAATACTTCCTTTTTGATATTTGTATACTTTGAAGCTATTTAAAAAAAAAAAAAACTAGGGAAAAAACATGATCATTTGTAGCAGAAAACATTTCGTGTCTTTTATATTATGTGTCTTACTTAAATCCCGTAACAGACCCATAAATGTTGTGGACTATAAATAGCTGCTTACATAAATAACGTAGCCTCTCTTCCCCCTTCTATCCAGATTGAAAAGGCCAAACCCATTAAATGTGGAACATTCAGTGCAACATCTTTACAGCAGAGATACTTAGCTACTGGAGACTTTGGTGGAAACCTTCATATATGGTAAGATTATTTAATCAGTATTTAGACAGATGAGATAAGCAGTTTCTTTGATATTTTTGTTACTCTTCCTCTGAAAGAGAATTCTAATTTTAAAATGTACCTTACTTGTTCAGTTTTAGCATTTTATGGAAATGTGAGGAAGATTTTTTAATATATTTCTAGATTTTATATCAAAAATTCATTTAAAAATACAAATCTTTTCTTCTTTAGATAGTTCAAATAATGTTACCAGTGTTTTCACACAAGCTGTTTGATACTAGCAGTTGACACCCCTTATTTGTAAGTGAAAGTCTATTTCCCTTCCACCTTTAAGGACACAATGTGTGAAAATGCACATGTATAACATTGAAAAATTAGATATTTACATCTCAGCAAGAGATTTGACATTACAGAATAGACAGCAATGAGTTTTTTCTTTTAGTTTTTGAATGTAGAACTGCTTTATTCTTTCAAAGTGAGTTTTTTGTTACTTTTTTAATGCTTAATATCTAAGCACAAATTTTTAGGAACATATTTATTAAACAAATCAAAATAAACCTGTTTTGAATGAACAAAATCATTATTGTGTCAAAGGCTTTTTAATTGTCATGTTTTTTGTAGAGTTATTCCTTCATATTTAAATTACAATTGAATGAGTTGAGTTGTTGTTGTTTGGTGCCTTCAGGGTGGTTCCTACTCCATAGTGACCCTAGGTAAAACACAGCGAAACACTGCCCAGTCCTGCACCATCCTCACAGTCGTTGTCATGCATGAGCCCATTGTTGCAGCTACTGTGTTAGTTTATCTCGTTGAGGGTCTTCCTCTTTTTTGCTGACCCTCTACTTTATCAAACGTGATGTCCTTCTCCAGAGACTGATCCCTTCTGATAACATCCAAAGTACGTGAGACGAAATCTCGCCATCCTCGCTTCTAAGGAACATTCTGGCTGTGCTTCTTCCAAGACGGATTTGTTCGTTCTTCTGGCAGTTCACGGTATATTCGGTATTCTTTGCCAGCACCGTAATTCAAGGGCATAAGTTCTTCTTCGGTCTTCCTTATTCATTGTCCAGCTTTCGCATGCATATGAAGCAATTGAAAATACCGTGGCTTGGGTCAGACGCAGCTGAGTCCTCAAGGTGACATCTTTACTTTTTAATACTTTAAAGAGGTCTTTTGCAGCAGATTTGCCCAATGCAGTACGTCCTTTGATTTCTTGACTGCTGCTTCCATGGGCATTGATTATGGATCCAAGTAAAATGAAATCCTTTAAAACTTCAATATTTTCTCCATTTATCATGATGTTGCCTATTGGTCCAGTTGTGAGGATTTTTGTTTTCTTGGTTTTGAGGTGCAATCCACACCGAAGGCTGTGGTCTTTGATCTTCGTCAGTAAGTGCTTCAACCCCTCTTCAGTTTCAGCAAGCAAGGTTGTGTCATCTGCATATCACAGGTTGTTAGTGAGTCTTCCTCCAATCCTGGTGCCACATTCTTCATATAGTCCAGTTTCTCGGATTATTTGCTCAGCGTACAGATTGAATAAGTATGGTAAAAGGATACAACCCTGACACACACCTTTGCTGACTTTAAACCACACAAGCTCCCCTCGTTCTGTTCAAAAGACTTCCTCTTTTTTCTATGTACAGGTTCTTCGTGAGCACAGTTAAATGTTCTGCAATTCTCGTTCTTCGCAGTGTTACCCATGATTTGTTTTGATCCACACAGTTGAATGCCTTTGCAGTCAATAAAACACAGGTAAACATCTTCCTTATGTGCTCTGCTTTCAGTCAAGATCCATCTTATGTCAGCAATGGTATTCCTCGTTCCACGTCCTCTTCTGAATCCAGCTTGAATTCCTGGCAGTTCCCTGTCGATGTACTGCTGCAGCCGTTTTTATATTAATGATATTGTTCAATAATTTCTGCGTTCTGTTGGATCGCCTTTCTTTGGAAGGTGCACAAATATGGATCTCTTCCAGTCGATTGGCCAGGTAATTGTCTTCCAAATTTCTTGACATAGACAAGTGAGCGCTTCCAGTTCTGTATCTGTTTGTTGAAACATCTCAGTTGGTGTTCTGTCAATTCCTGCAGCCTTGTTTTTGCCAGTGCCTTCATGCAGCTTGGACTTCTTCCTTCAGTACCATGAGTTCCTGCTGATGTGCTACCTATCATATGCTTGAACATCGACCAGTTCTTTTTGGTACAGTAACTATATTCCTTCCATCTTCTTTTGATGCTTCCTGTGGCGTTCAATATTTTGCCCATAGAATCCTTAAGATTGCAACTTGAGGCTTAAATTTTTTTTTTCAGGTCTTTCAGCTTGAGAAATGCAGAACACGTTCTTCCCTTTTGGTTTTCTAACTTCAGGTCTTTGCACATTTCATAATAATACTTGTACTTTGTCTTCTCCACCCACCCTTTGAAATCTTCTGTTCAGCTCTTTTATTTCATCATTTATTCCATTCGCTTTAGTTACTCTGCATTCAAGAGCAAGCTTCAGAGTCTCTTCTGGCATCCATTCTGGTCTTTTCTTTCTTTCCTATCTTTTTAATGATCTCTTGCTTTCTTCATGAATGTTGTCCTTAACATTATCCCACAACTCTTCTGGTCTTTGGTCATTAATGTTTAATGCGTGAAATCTAGTCTCAAGATCATCTCTAAATTTAGGTGGCATATACTCAAGGTTGTACTTTGACTCTGGTGGACTTGTTTTAATTTTCTTCAGCTTCAGCTTGAACTTGCATCTGAGCAATTGATGGTCTGTTCCACAGTCGGCCCCTGGCCTTGTTCTGACTGATGATACTGAGCTTCTCCATCATGTCTTTCAACAGATGTAGTCCTCTTTAATTATTTTTCAGGACTGCCTCTTAATATTAATCATTTAAAATAAGCAGAAATATTCTAGAAAAAAACTGTTTTCCCTGTGTCATGTTTTTAATATGATCTTTCCTGATTCTCATTTGGATTCTGGTACTTTATAGTTAAATTACCTTGACATATTTATCTGTCTTAGAATCATAATGTAAAACAGGATGAAACTATCTTACTTTCTTCTTGATTTAACTGCTTGATATTTAAGTTAGCATTAATTAGAATGCATCAGTTCTTACATGCTGTGTCATATACTTTCAGAGAAATTGGGAGAGAGGCCAGTCTGAATTTTATTGTTAAAAATAAATATAATTTATTTCAAGAATATGCAATAAATATAACTGTTGATGTTCTCCCTAATAAGAGTTTCCTAGACTACTACAGTTATTATGGACTTATTTTTACGGATAAGTCTTATAATTTCATGTAAAAAAATTAGTAATGTTTTAGAGTCTATAAAAATAGTAAAACAGTTTGTTCTTTTAATTAGAACCACAATCCTATTTGGTCTCTTCATTCTTTCACAGTGATGTTACAAAGGTAAACATCATCTAAACTAGGTTGAACTACCTCAGATTTTGAAAAGTAAAATTTAACTAATGTTGGCCCAGTTGGCATTACATTTTTGAATAGTCTCGTTATTTAAAAAAAAAAAAAAAAGTATATTATTGAAAACTGACTTATTAAAGGGAAATTTGGATAGAGGCTGTACTAGGAAAGCAGAAGAAGGGGACGAATGGAGGGAGGCAAGAGAAGATGTGTATTAACGTAACCTAATTGAACCGTTCATCAAGCATACATCGTCTATCGAAGAGCCAAGCACACATAGTAATGGGTACTTTCCTACATACTTTTCTCTTAACTAACCTAGAAGTAGACAGACTTCAGCCAGTTTGGCTGTAATATTGTTACCAGTGTGATGATACACAGAAAAAATATATAACTAGGTGGAAATCCATATGGAATTCAGTGAGAAAATAATACACGGTAAAGGAAGAAATGTATGCAAAATAAACACTATGCATATTTTATCATTAAAAAAGGTCTCAAGATCGAGATATCAAGGCCTACTATGGAAGCATTCGAAATCACTTTAAATTCACTCTCCATGTAAAGAAAGCAGTGGCTATCAGACTTCACTGTACCAATGAGTCAGCAGATTTGGGGCCCCATCCCAGAGATGCTCATTCATTATGTCTAGGGTGGAGCCCAGGAATCTCCTGAACCCGTAGACTCTTGGGCTCTGTGTTTAACAACAAGCACACCTGGTAATTCATGTGCAGCCTTCCTAGAAAGTTAGTTTTTGAGGAATGCTGAGCGGGCTTGAATGGTGACAGTTCTTACTGAGACTTGGAAAAAGATAAAGTAGAGAAAAACATTTAGCATTAGATACATAAATTACCCTCACAGGAAAGCTGTTATTTTTAAACAAAAATCTAAATATAGTGTCTGTTCTTAATAGTGGACTTAAATGTTGGGCATGTGAAGTAAGAAAGAAGCTGTTTTCTGTTTAGGAATTTGGAGGCTCCCGAGATCCCAGTGTATTCTGTAAAGGGCCATAAAGAAATTATCAATACTATAGATGGCGTAGGTGGACTAGGAATTGGGGAAGGAGCGCCTGAAATTGTGACTGGCAGCCGAGATGGTGAGTCAAAGTATTCTGTGTATTTTTAATTTTTTTTTTTTTTTTTTTTTTAAGGAAAAGCTCTATGTAACAGTATAGCCTCTCTGTGTGGAAATCCTCCTCAGTCGCCTTGACCCCCTAAATCTAACATACTTGCTTCCACTTTTAGGCAAGTCTGATTGCATATCCTTCCGTTGTTTCAGACTTCTGGGTATTTTGAGACAGAAGCATAGAACTTACTATTTTCATTTTGAGCTGGTTCAGCTACTAAGAATGATAGTTTCCTATGAACCTTGAAGAATTTTAAATTTCTTTGCAGGTTTTTGAGGCAGCTAATGATACAATGTGGGAGGCAGCTTTTCACTTTCTTTTTTTAAAAAGCAGAGTTAGTACTTGTGAAAAATTGTCAGATTGACAGCTGGGTTGAACACTGAAGTTCTGTGTTCCTCCCGCTGAGCATTGTTGAGTGCTCCAAGGGCACCGACTTTGCTTTTCCACCTTGTGACCAGGTCTTCTGGTGTCCAGCTATCCCAAGTGACTGTCACAGAGTCACAATTTTGTGTTGCCTCGTGGTGGGCGTGGTTCATGAGAGATTTGGTATCATAGTTGATTCGACTAGTTTTTAAATAGCTGCTCAAGATCATGAGGAGATTGTTTTCGAAGAAAAATGGGATGTAATTTTATGATAGGCTGTGTTTTAGAAATCAATTTTTTTTTCATTATAAAAGCAATAGGGAATACAGAAGGAAGAAGTTTAGTCTCTACTGCACTAGGCAACCGTTATAATTTTGTTTTACTTTTCCAGTTTTATAGGTAATTTTGCATAATTATTATCAGTATGAATACAATTTTGTATTTTTTTCATTTTGTGTTGCATGCAAATATTGCTCCTTCCATATAGTTTTTATAATTATTATTTTAATAACTACTGTTCCATCATATGCATGTCACAATGTACTTGACCATGACCCTGTTAATTAGCATTCAGCTTGCTTTAAGTTTTTTGGCAGGATGACTTAAAAATAATGGCAAAATGAGTATCATCGTACATGTAACTCTTTTGGAAAACACATACTTTATAATTTTTAAAATGTATTGTCAAATCTTTCCAAGTGCTTATTTACCTTGTCAGCTACAATGGATAAGAATACCATTGCTAGTCTACCCTACCAGCACTGGTTTTCTTTTTTTTTTTCCCCCCTAATTTTGTAGACAAAAACGGTGCTCTATTCTAGTTTGTGTTAACTTCTTTCTGTTTGTTTACTAGTTAATTTTTGGTTTGCATTGTTTATGTTTCTTGCTCATTTAACTATTACAAACTTAACATTTATCTTATCAATTTATATAAACCCTAAAAGTAGCTTTTTTAATGACTAACTTAGTTTTATTCCTGGAGATAAATCTAGTGAAACATCTTCCTTTTCCTGAGTTTATTATCCTTTTTAAAGATTTTTTGTCCTTTTCCTATTCTCTCTCAGATATTTGCCTTTTAGCCATTTTGTTGCGACTGTTTGTATTTCTCCTTAGTCAGTCAGTCAGTGACATCATTTAGTTAGTAGTCTGGTAATTTGAATTAAAATGAGGGAGTTGAAATTAAATTGAGAAAGAATTGTGTTAATTTTATCTAATAGTTCCCTTTTCTCTGTTGCCACAAGGAAGTTAAACTTTATTATATATGAAATAGTGTTCTAAAACTCCATGTAAGAAATCATAGATATGAAAATTAGAGTTTACTCATCTGTATTAAAAAAAATACCAATGCTTATATGAATAGTAAGGAAGCATTTAAAATGACACTGGTATTATTCCAAATAAACAAAGTAATTCATTAGTTTTAGGCTCAAAACAAAGAAAATAAGCCATGATCTGAATTGCACAGTTTCTATTTGCCTTGTCAGCCATCCTTGTGGAGAATTTAAGCAACCCAAACCCATTGCCTTCGAGTCGATTCCGACGCATAGTGACCATACAGGACAGAGTAGAACTGCCCCATAGGGTTTCTAAGGAGGATTCGAACTGCTGACCTTCTGGTTAGCAGCCAAGCTTTTAACAACCATGCAGCAGCGCTCCACAGAGAACTTAGGAATAGCATATTGGCTTTTCTGTGTACGTATTAATTGGAAATCAAGTCAGTAACATGAGTTATTTTTCTGATATTAAATACAGTTTACCCAGTTAGAAGTCTGAAAAATGTGGATATTTTTCAGATGTCATGCCATCTACAGTACTGCCTTGAGTGCAGGAAGCTGTAGGAAGACAATGTAGAAAAGAAACAACTTGAGCCTTCACTATTAATTTTCACCAACTCACGTTTATTCATGACAGGAACTGTCAAGGTGTGGGACCCAAGGCAGAAAGATGATCCTGTCGCTAATATGGAACCTGTACAAGGAGAAAACAAGAGAGACTGTTGGACTGTGGCATTTGGTAAATTATTGAAGAACTCTTACATTTGAAGTAGCAGATGGTAAAAAGCACAGTGCTGCAAGGAAGTCCTGAGAGTCTCTGTGTTGTGTGTTTTGTGGATTATTCTGACAGTTTAGTGAGGCAGATGTTCGTGGTGGTTAATATTGGGCTCTGGGGCCTGGGTTTGAATCCCAGCTCTGCTGTTTATTGGCTGAGTGATGTCACCAAACTTTTCTGTGCTTCGGTTGCTTCATTTATAAAATGCAACTAATAATCGCACCTGCTCAGTAGTGTTGTCATGAGGATTCAGTGAGCTAACACGTGTAAAGTGCTTAAAGTTGTGCTTCGAATATTAAGTCCTCAGAAATAATTGCTATTATTAGTTTGTATTTCTTTTTAATTAGATAATATTGACTTTGCTTAGAACCAAATGCCGTTAATGGTATAAGCAGGGCCTTGAATGCAGCTGGTAACCTAGCAAATCTTATACTTCACTGTACACAGAATATGTTTATTTTCTCGAAAATAGTAATGTCATGACAAAATTGCTTTTTATAAATCTGATATTGTATTCTGTTAATATTCTTAAATGAATATTTATTTTATTGGACTGATATTTGCTCCTGGGTATCTTGCTGAGCACCACCGTTAAACTAATTTTTGCTTCTAGAGGATATGAGCCATATTTAGTTTCAAACTAAGTATTTGTAAGTGGAGGTTGAAGGTATACACGAACTGTTCAACTTTTTATGTTCTTTTTAAATTGGACTGGTATTTATAAAAGGAAAGTTCTAGATTTCCAATTAAAAATTATTATATGGGAATTACTGTGTGTTTGTATATTGTGAGCAATAATGTAAACTTAAGACATGTATGCTTTGGGGAGAAATTTCAGGATTACTATTTAGAATGATCATTTAAAAATGGATATAATAATTAAAAAGTAATTATCTTTGGGTTCATTAAAGCTCTTTTAGCATTGATCTCAAGAACATAAGTGCAGTTTTAAGCCTAGGATATTAAGTTTAAAATAAAACTTATCCATTGATTTGACAATTTTTTATTAATCCCAAGAATATGCAAAGCACCGTGGAGCATGCAGAGATGAAAGTGAAAGCCTCAAGAAGCTTACAGTGTAGTGAAGAGGGCATGATAGCTATAGAAAAAATTATAAGGTAGGAGTGATAAAAGGTCACGAGAGGGATGGATAAATGCAAAAGGAATCCAGAGGGAGAGATAACTGAGGAGGAGGAAATTTCAAACTTACAGAATAGCTTAAAAAGTGTCTGGGGAAGTATGTAGAGGGGAATGTTGTTGCTAGTTGCCATGGAGTCAATTCCGACTCATGGCAACCCCATGTTTACAGATTAGAACTGCTCTGTAGGGTAGAGGGGACTGATGGTTAGAAAAAGCCTTGGAGATGGCTTGGGACCATAGCCAGCGGTGTGGTTTAGATCATCTGCAGGTGGTAAGCCTTTGGAGGTTTTTGCAAGGATGAGATGTAAGCAGATCTTTAGGAAAATTAAACTGGTGGTGGGTGGTCAGGAGAGATGAGTGGTGAGGGGATACGAGTTCAGAAACTCTTTGCGATATTCCAGGGAAGACATAGGTTAGAAGCAATGTGGATGGAGCAGAGAGAATTGATTCAAAAGATAATTTTGTAGCAAAATAAATAGAATTTGACCATTTATTGGATAAGAGAGACAAGGGAAAGGGCTGTGTCCAAGATGACTGGGTTTTGAGGCTGATTGTGAGATGAATGATGTCATTAATTGAAAAATTCCCACAAGGGATAGGGTGGTTTCTGAGGGAAGATGATGACGTCAGTTTTGGACATGATGAGTTTAAGACACAGGTGCACCGTCTAGGTGGAGCCACAGTCGGAAATGCAGAACTGGTGTTTATGAGAAAGAGGGGCTTGGAGGCAGTGGAGAACGAAGGCCTTGGGATAAGATGGCCAGGCAGGCTAGCACAGAGCAGCCTCCCTCTCACTTAACATTGTTTCCCCGGCAAGAGGTACTCAGGAGAGTAATCCTGGACCCAAACAGGATGAATTTAACTAGAGATTGTAACTTACCTTAGGTGTGATCACGTCCATGCAACTAAAGATATGTCACAGTGTACTACAACTTATTTGAGGTTTCCCTTCAAAGATGGAATAACACCAGAACAACAATTTGCAAAATAAATAAGTTTTAAAGTAGTTTCTATTTGTATTCAAATGTAGTTACTGTCAAAGAAAGCAATAGAAGCATAGCTGTATTTCTTCTCCCGGACCCTACTATGTTTGATGAGCGTCGTCTTTTTTTAACAATATATATTTTTTTCTCATGTACTTCTTAGTGTCTTTATTTACCTTCGTCAAGTTGTGCTGACTTCACCCATATTTAGGATTGTCTTTCCCATCACCAAAAGCATCAAGTGTCTGCTGTTTAGAAAGTGATTCCTCCTCTGTCTCCCTCCCATCCCTGGTAACCATCAAAGAACTTTGCTTTCTGTGTGTGTCTGTTCTTGACTTTTGACAATAGTGGGACCATACAATAGTTGTCTTTTTGTGATTGACTTATTTCACTCAGCATAATGTCCTCCAGATTCATCCTTGTTTTAAGACATTTCACAGACTCATTATTCTTTATAGCTGCATATGTATGTGTCACAGTTTGTTTATCCATTCATCTGTTGATGGGCACTTAGGTTGTTTCCATCTTTTTGCTATTGTGAATAATGCTGTAATGAACATAGGTGTGCATATGTCTGTTTGTGTCATTGCTCTTTTATCTCTAGGATAGATAAACCTAGGAGTGAGATTACTGGATCATAAGGTATTTCTATCTCTAGCTTTTTGAGGAAGTGCCATACTGTTTTCCGTAGTGGTTATACCATTTTATAATCCCTCCAACAATGTGTAAGTGTTCCAATCCCCTCACAACCATGCCAGCATTTGTTGTTTTCTGTTTTTTTGATCACTGCCATTTTTGCAGGAGTGAGATGGCATCTCATTGTACTTTTGATTTGCACCTCTCTGATGGCTAATGATCACAAGCATCTCTTCATATATTTGTTGGCCGCCTTAATGTCCTCTTTAGTGAAGTGTCTGTTCATGTCCTTTGCCCATTTTTTGATCAGATTTTTTTGTTGTTGTTCAGTTGTTGAAGTTTTCTATATATTTGAGAGATTAGATCCTTATCAGATATGTCTTTGCCCAAGATTTTTTCCCAGTCTGTAGGTTTTCTTTTAACTTTGTTGTTAAAGTCTTTTGATGAGCATTAAATATTTAATTTTTAGGAGGTCCCAGTTATCTAGGTTATCTTCTGTTCCTGCAGTTTTAGTTTTGCTTGATAGACTATGCTGAAAATTGGGTCCCCTAATTTGGTGGCACGGTGGTTAAGAACTCAGCTGCCAACCAAAAGGTCTGCAGTTCCAATCCACCAGCCGATCCTTGGAGCCCTGATGGGGCAACTCTACTCTGTCTGATCGGGTCGCTATGGGTTGGAATCGACCTGATGGCAATGGATATTGTGCGAGTAGTTATGACCCTGTGTTATCTTCAGGAACTTCATAGTTTTAACTTTAACATTTAGGTCTTTGATCCATTTTGAGTTAGTTTATGTGCATAATGTGAGTTATGAATCCTGATTCATTTTTCTGCATATGGTTATCCAGTTTTGCCAGCACCGTTTGTTAAAGAGATTGTTTTTTCCCCATTGAATGGACTTTGACCCTTTGTCGAAGATCAGCTACCTGTAAATGGATGGATTTACTTCTGGTTCTCAATTCTGTTCCATTGGTCTGTGTGTCTGTCGTTGAACCAGTACCAGGCTGTTTTGATTACCGTGGCTGTATAGTAAGTTTTGACATTGGGAAGTGTGAAGCCTCCTCCTTTGTTCTTCAATATTACTTTAGCTCTTCAGGGCCTCTTTCCTTTCCATATAAAGGTGGAGATTAGTTTGTCTATTTCATTAAAGAATGTTGTTCAGGATGGGATTGGGATTGTATTATAGCTATAGGTTGCTTTGGGTAGTATTGACATTTTCACAATGTTAGGTCTTCTAATCCATGAAGCATGGAATGCTTTACCACTTATGTAGATCTCTTTCAGTTTCTTGTAGTAGCGTTTTGTAGTTTTCCTTGTATAAGTCTTTTATGTCCCTGATTAGGTTTATTCCTAGGTATTTTGTCCTTTTGGGGGCTGTTGTAAGTGGTATTGATTTTTTCATTTCCTTTTCAGAGCCCTCCTTGTTAGTATAGAGGAGCCCAACTCACTTTTGTGTGTTAATCTTGTACCCTGTCACTTTGTTGAATCCTCTGTCAGTTCCAGTAACTTTCTTGTGGAGTCTCTGGGATTTTCTGTGTATAGGATCATGTCATCTGTGAATAAGGATGGCTTTACTTCTTCCTTTCCAATTTGGATACCCTTTATTTCCCTTTCTTGCTTTATTGCTCTAGCTAGGACTTCCAGTACAATGTTGAATAAAAGTGGTGATAAAGGGCATCCTTGTCTCATTGCTGTTCTCAAGGGGAATGCTCTCAATCTTTCTCTGTTGAGAAAAGTGTTGGCTGTTGGTTTCGCATATATACCCTTAATTATGTTGAGGAATTTCCCTGCTATTCCTGTTTTGCTGAGAGTTTTTAATCAGGAAAGAGTGTTGGATGTTTTCAGATGCCTTTTCTGTGTCGCTTGAGATGGTCATGTGATTCTCTTCCTTTGTTTTATTTATGTGGTGAATTATGTTGATTGATTTTCTAATGTTGAACCATCCTTACATACTTGATATGAATCTCACTTGATTGTGATGCATTATTTTTTGATATGCTGTTGAATTCTGTTAGCTAAAATTTTGTTGGGAATTTGTGTGTCTATATTTATGAGGGATATTGGTCTGGAATTTTCTTTTTTAGTGGTGTCTTTGCCTAGCTTTGGAGCCCTGGTGGCACAGTAGTTAAGAGCTCAGCTACTAACCAAAAGATTGGCAGTTCGAATCCACCAGGTGCTTCTTGGAAACCCTGTGGAGCAGGTGGGGTTTTCAATGAGTCAGAATCGACTTGACGGCAATGGGTGTTTGGTGCCTGGCTTTGGTATCAGGGTTATGCTGGCGACTTCATAGAATGATTAGGGAATTTTCCTTCCTTTTCTATGTTCTGGAATAGTTTAAGTAGAATTGGCACCAATTCTTTGAATGTTTGGTAGAGTTCTCCAATGAAGTTGTCTGAGCTGGGATTTTTTGTTGGTGGTGGTGAGAGTTTTTTTATGACATCTTCAGTTTCTTCTTTTGTTATGGATCTTTTCAAATTTTCTAAACTCTGTGTTAGTTTAGGCAGGTGGTGTGTTCCTAGAAATGAGTCCATTTCTTCTAGAGTTTCGAATTTGGAGTACAATTTTCATAATTTTCTGCAATGATCCTTTTTATCTTGGTTGTGTTGTGATGCCACCCGTTTCACTTCTTATTTTGGTTATTTATATCTTTCTGGTTTTTTTTCCTGTCATGGCTTGAATTATGTCCCCCAAAAAATGTGTGTATCAATTTGGTTAGGCCATGATTCCTGGTACTGTGAGATTTTCCTGTATGTTGTAAACCTGCCTCTATGATGTTAATGAGGGAGGAGGGTGGCAGTTGTGTTAGTAAGGCAGGACCTGATCTGCAAGACTGGATTGTGTCCTGAGGCAATCTCTTGAGATGTAAAAGACAGAAGTGAGCAGTGAGACAGGGACCTCATACCATCAAGAAAGCAGTGCCGGGAGCAGAGCACGTCGTTTGGACTGGGGTCCCTGCGCAGAGACGCTCCTAGTCCGGGGGAACACTGAAGAGAAGAAGGCCGACAGAGAGAAAAAGCCTTCGCCTGGAGCTGATGCCTTGAATTTGGACTTTTAGCCTACTTTGACTATGAGGAAATAAACTTCTCTTCATTAAAACCATCCACTTGTGGTATTTCTGTTATGGCAGCACTAGATGACTAAGACATTTCCTTTGTCAGTTTGGCCACTGCTTTGTCAGTTTTATTGATCCTTTCAAAGAACTAACTTCTCGTCTTGTTGATTTTTTTTCCTATTGTTTTTCTGTTTTCTATTTCATTTATTTCTGCTCTGATCTTTATTATATCCTTTTTTTTCTGGTGACTGTGGACTTCTTTTGCTGCTCCTTTTCTAATTGTTCAAGTTATAGGGTTAAGATAACTGATTTTGGTCCTTTCTTATTTTTAGATACATGCATTTATTTTTATAAATTCTCTGAGCACTGCTTTTGCTCTGTCTCAGAGGTTTTGGTATGTTATGTTTTCATTCTCATTTGATTCTAAGAATTTTTTAAGTTCATTTTTTCATTTCTTCTGTTACCCAACAGTTTTTAAGTAAGGTGTTACTCAGTTTCCATGTGTTTAAGTTTTTTCCTTGTTCTTACTGATTTCTCATAGTGTTATGATCAGAGAAGATGCTTTGTATTATTTCGCTGTTTTTTAATTTATTGAGGCTTGCTTTGTGGCCTAAAATATGGTCTGTTCTGGAAAATGATTCATGTGTATTGAAGAAGAATGTGTACTGTACTGCTCTTGGGTGTTCTGTATGTCTATGAGGTCGAATTGATTGATTGTGTTGTTTAAATCTTCTGTATCTTTGTTGCGTTTCCTTCTAGTTCTGTCCATCATTGAAAGTGGTGCATTAAAGTTTCCTACTATTATTGTAAAACTGTCTATTTCTCTTTTCAATTCTGTTAGAGTTTGTTTTATGCATTTTTTAGCTCTGTCATTGGGTGTGTAAATATTTATTATGGTTATGTTCTCTTGGTAGATTGACCGTTTAATCATTATATAATGCCCTTCTTTGTCTCTTATAATGGGTTTTAACTTAAAGTCTCTTTTATCAGAGAGTATTACTGTCACTCCTGCTCTCTTTTTGTTACAGTTGGCTTGATATATTTTTTTCCATCCTTTGATTTTTAACCTATTTATGTCTTTGTGTTTAAGGTCCGTCTCTTATAGGCAACATATTGATGGGTTATGTTTTTTTATCCAGTCTGTCACTCTGTCTCTTGACTGGTGCTTTTAAACCATTTACATTCAGTGTGATTATTGATAGATATGAATTTACTGCTGCCATTTTGTTAAGCTTTTTTTTTTTTGTGGTGTTAATGGTTTCTTTGTTCTTAATTTTCTGTGCTCAGTTCTTTTTGTTTATGGATTTCTTTTCGTGTCGTTTGTTGTTGTCGACTTTGTGTTTACTGAATCTTTGATTTTCTTCTTTATTTTGGTGAGTATATTTATTAATTTTCTTTGTGGTTGCTCTGAAATTTACCTTTACCTTCCTAAGCTTAAAATAGTGTGTTATATCTTGATATCACCTTGACTTCCTCTCCGTACAGAAGTTCTGTAGCTACACCATTTATTCCCCCTTTTTGTTTTGAAGTTTTCATGGTTTACAGATTGACATTTCTGGTTCCCTGTTTTCAGTTTTGCAGGTTTATGTTACTTTTGAGAGGTCATTATCTGGGTTGGTATCTGGGTGATGGTGTTGTATGCCTTAATCTCAGGTTGTTGTCTGATGTCATTGGTTCTCTGTCTGAAGGACTCCCTTTAGTATTTCTTGTAAGTTTGATCTGGTTTTTATAAATTTCCTACATATCTGTTTATCTGGGAATGTCCTAGTTTCACCATCATGTTTGAAAAACAGTTTTGCTGGATATATGATTCTTGGTTGACAGTTCTTTTCTTTCAGGGTTTTATATATGTCATCCTATTGCCTTCTTGCCTGCATGGTTTCTGCTGAGAAATCAGCATTTAGTCTTATTGGGGCCCCTTTGTAGGTGATATTTTGTTTTTCACGAGATTGTCTCAGAATTCTTTCTTTGTCTTTGGTTTTGGAAAGTTTAATTATGATATGTCTTGGTGACTTTATTTTGTGGTCTATCCTGTGTAGAGTTTGTTGAACTTCTTGGATGGAAATATTCTCATCTTTCATGATATTAGGAGGGAAATTTTCTTCCAATAAATCTTCAAAATTTCTCTCTGTACTGTTCATTTCTCCTCCTGGTCTGGAAGTCCTACTACATGTAAATTATTCCTCTAGATAGTGTCCCACATAACTCTTAGCTTTTCTTCTTTTTTCTGATTGTTCCTCAGACAAATTAGTATCAAGGGATTTGTCCTCTATTTCACTGATTCTTTTCTCCATTGATTCAATTCTACTTTTATGTTCTTCCATTGAGTTATCTATTTCTGATATTTTATTGTTAGTCTTCTGGATTTCTAGTTGTTTTTGTATAGTTTTAATTGCCTACTTATTTTGTCATTTTTTTTCTTATACTGTTTTCCTGAATTCTTCTAGGTCTTTGTTTGTGTTTTCCTTGATATCTTTGAGGATCCTATGTATAGTCTTTTGAATTCCTTATCAGGTAGCTCTGTTACCATTTCTTCTTCATACAGGTTTTCTGCCTCTTTATTTTGATCACTAGTTTGAGCCATCTTATACTGTTTCTTCATATGGTTTGTTATTGGCTGTGTCTCTGAGGCATTAAGGTGTTAGTTTATTTATTTATATATTTCTTTATTGACTATATGTATATATGTTTTGTGCTGATTTTTTTTGATGTATCTGGAGCTTTGTTTCTTCTTTTTTTCTTTAGAATATCTTTCTTCCCTTGTATTATTTTAATTGTTTTGTGGCTCTGGTCTGTGTGACTTTGGTGGTGTCTGTTAGTTGAGCATGATTTCCTCTCACTAGTGAGTATGATGGGTCACACCCATGTGCAAGTCCTCTGTGGTTAGACTCATATGTCTTCCCTTATTGGATTAAGTGTATGTGAGAGAGCAGATTCTTTCCCAGATATTGGGTGACAAGTGTTGGGTGGTCAGGATCCCTCCACGGCCCTTGTGGGACCATAGGGTCCTTCCAGGTTGGTCCTAGCAGTGTGTTCTGTATCCAGACGTTCCTGTATCCAGTGTGAGGGAGAGCTACACAAATGGACAGGGGTAGGCCTGCTGTGCATACACGAATTGGTGTCTCAGTAGGTGGTGGGGTATTACGGGGTTTCAGTGCACATTCAGAAAACCTACAGGAACTGTTTGGGTGTGGGATGGGTAACATTGCAGCTGGGCAGAAGTTGGATGATGGCACTAGGATCTCCTGTTTGTCATTTGGCAGAGGTGCAGATGGCTTCTGTCAGGGTGTGAGTGGCATTGTTGATGAGGTGATGTGTCTGTCCACCTGGTCACCAGGGCATGGGTGCAGGGAGCGTTCTCGCCATTGCTGGGTTGGGGGCTTGTCATTTCTTCTGGGATTGTTTGCACAGAATCTCTGCCACTAGCTGTGCTCTCTTTGCCGTGCCATCCCAAAATGGCCACTCTGCTCCACGCCAGCTTGGAGGGTGCAGTTGATCCACGAATCTCTGTTTTCCCACTGGCCTCCTTCTGCCTCTCCTTCCAATTAGTGCTGAATCTGTTTCTTGAACTGTCAGTTTGATGTTCTTGGATCCAAGGTCGTTTTTTTTGTATCTTGTTTTACTTAGTTTCTTGAGTCTTTGTTGTCAGGGGGTCATTATGGCACGTGTAATTAAGGCGTCATATTGACCAGATTCTCTTTTTGAAACAATATTAAATACAAAAGTAGAGTCTTGATACCCTGTAAGGATTATTAAAATGGAGTTCTACCTAATGTGATTTTATATATGATTTGGTATAAGTTATATATGTAGTGTCATAAATCTTTTTTAAGAAGCCTTCAAATTAATATTTAAAATCATCTGAAATGTTGTATCTTGATTTCCAGGCAATGCTTATAATCAAGAGGAACGCGTTGTTTGTGCTGGCTATGACAACGGGGATATTAAACTGTTTGACCTCAGAAATATGTCATTGCGGTGGGAGACTAACATAAAAAATGGGGTAATGTACATTCTGATACTTTTTAGTTTCTCTGAGCATGTTTTCAACTACTAGAAAAGGAAAGTGCCTCTAGTAACCATCTCAGTACAACCCCTCTTAACCTTTTGGGATCATGAAGCCCTTTGAGAATCTAATGGAAATCATGAATCCTCTCTTCAGAAGGTGAACACACACACACAGATGTGGAGTGTGCAATGCCAGGTGAGCCACCAGCCCCTCGCGCTATCTGTGGAGCCCTCGGGCTATCTGTGGAGCCCTTGGGCCATGCAGTGTGAAGATATCAAAGCCAGCAAGTAAGAGGCCTTTTTCCCTTTATAATTTTGGAATGCCTGAAATGGTAACAGCCTCCTTAGGTACTCTCGGATTTTTGGTTCCTGAGTTGCACACCTTAAGTGAGGAATGCAGTTTTTTCCTTTTGTTTAAAGTCAGACTTAACTGAAGGAGCCCTGGTGGTGCAGTGGTTAAGCACTCAGCTGCTAACCGAAAGGTTGATAGTTTGAACCCATTCCGCGGGAGAAAGATGTGGCGGTATGTATCTGTAAAGATTATAGCCTTGGAAACCCTATGGGGCAGTTCTACTCTGTCCTGTAGGGTTGCTACTAGTCAGAATCGACTCAACAGCAACAGGTTTGACTTACTGTATTAAGTAATGTAAAAAATTAAGTTATGACCATAAATACATGGAATTTGGAACCCCTCCCAAGTGGGCATGACATGACAATGAAAGATGATTTTTGTTGATCTTATTAACCAAGAAATATATTTTTTACAGGTAGAAGTTCTTGATATGTTGATTTAAACTATAAAATGATTGAACACTTTCACATGAGCTGATTAAGTTTAAAGCTGTTTTACTTAGTTATAAAAGCCTCCTGAATAATAACGAAGGTACCATCGATAAATACTCTCTCTTTTCAGGTATGTAGCGTGGAGTTTGACAGAAAAGACATAAGTATGAATAAGTTAGTTGCTACATCTCTGGAAGGAAAGTTCCATGTTTTTGACATGAGAACACAGCATCCAACCAAAGGTTTTGCTTCTGTTTCAGAAAAGGTAAACATGAGGGAAATGTCTTTCTATAAAGAGGAATGATGACTTGGTTTAGACTAATAGAATTAGTCACAAAAGTTTCTTCCAGGTCTTTATGTGCAGGAAGCTATTTTTGATATGTTCTTGTGGGATTTTGACAAGTTTTTCTGTGCAAAGAGTGCTTTCCCAAAGTTTATCAATTCTAGACTTTTGATTATAGTAAGACCTCAGTTGGCTGGGAATTGTGTAGCTTAGTGGCAATCACAAGAAAACTAGCCTGATATTTTTTAATAACTATATAATATTTGTATTGATAACCAATTATGTATTTTTCAAAATGCATCTACGTGTATATTATGTTATTTTATCATATTTTATTTAATATTCCCATTTGCTGTATAGATGAAAGAACTTGTTTAAAGGGCTAATCACTGAGATTGGTACCTAGTAGATGCTCAAAAAGATTTTATTTATTTATACTTTGCCTTGTTCCAAATAGTATTTGAGGTAGTTTAGAGGGAAACATACTACAGGATTCGAAAACTAGATGAGGAAAACAGAAGCAGGGAAAAGGAAAAATTCTGGTTAAAAACCTAACATGATTTCTGGAGTAAGGGGATTACGTATAATTGATGCTGAAATGTTCTGTCATTTGCAAGAGACGAGTTGCAACTTTTAACTCTTTGCTTCCTTGTGTATAAAAATAAAGAAGAAAGAACGATCAGTTACAGGTAAGATTAAAATACATAAATTGCTCAGGAAATAAGAATTCACTCTTGCTTCCTCTTCCTCCACCATGATTCAATAGTATTTCCCAAATCTTCCTATTTTGTAGTATTTCATTATTACTATAATAATAATAATTGTACATTTCTGTTGCTGCCTGATGAGCGAAATTCTTAGCAGGTAGCTATAAATTAGAATATTGTTTTGCCTTTGTCATTTCAGAATATACTAAGTATCTATCAGCAACATATAGCACTTTACTGAATTGTTCATATACAGTTTGCACCACATTTCTCATTATCTGTAAATAATAGTGTCATCTCCAAAAATTTTTTGTTATGCAGTCACGTGCCGGATAACATCCATTCGGGCAACATCTAACTGCATGTATGGCCACAGTCCCTTAAGGTTATAACAAAGTTTAGAAATCTCAATCGGAGAACAGGATGTAGTGGACGTAACACTTAAGAAACACTCCCAAACCGTACAGTGTTTTCAGGAGCATCACAAACTAGTGTGTGCATTTGTTATTAAAAACCATTGTATGTATTTAACTCAAATTTTTAATATAATAGGCTTTATGGCAGTCCATTCTTAAGTATGAGTTGTCTGTAAGTTGGATGTCCATAACCTAGGGATTGCCTGTATATAATACGGTGTTCTTACAACATCCAAATCACATAACATCCTATTTCACAGAACGTATCGTGGGCATTAAGCAGCATATGACTGTATTTAGTTAACCCAGTAATTGCAAAATCTGTCAAGTAAATGGCTCTGTTGTATTTTAAGGGGGTCACTTCCCCTCTTGTTTTTGTGGTTTTATCAACTTTACTTCCAGAAGAAACAAGCTTAAGGTACAAAACAAATTAAAATAAGTTCATCAGCTTGAACCTAATATCTTGGCGGCTCTCACACACTTAGAGTGTATATTTTAAGATACGTGTTTTTACCTACTGGTGGTTATTCTCTCAAAAGAGTATTAAAATCAAATGCCAAGACTAATCACTGACTAAAATGTTAAGTGTACATGTGTGGGTTAGCTCAAGTTAGCCATTCTCAGTGCTTCTACAGATCAGAAGGCATTCATCTCTCTCCCTCTGTCCCTCCCTCCTTTCCTTCTCTCCCTCCTGTAGTTCTCCCATAGTGAATATAATGCTACTAGGATTAATTTAGGGAGCGCTGGTGGCACAGTGGTTAAAGTGCTCAGCTTCTAACCAGAAGATTGGCGATTCGAACCCACTAGCTACTTCACAGGAGAAGGATGTGGCAGTCTGTTTCCAGAAAGGTTCACTGCCTTGGAAACCCTGTGGGGCAGTTTTACTCGGTCCTGTAGGGTCACTGTGAGTTGGAATAGACTAGATGGTGGTGGGCTTTTTTGGTTAGGGTTGATTTACGGGCTATTATTGAGGTGCTAACAAGCTGTTAACCTTCCAGTTGCTGTTTTTTATCTTTTAGCTTAAATATGACTGTTAAAGGCCTTAGCTTGTTATGACCATAACACTGTTTATAAATCCTCAAGGTCCCTATTTTGCGGACTAGAGAAATCAGGTGGCAGTAAATGGAGGGTAAGGTTCTGGGAGCTTGAAGTGGAAATTCAGTCAGTGTTTTTCTTTTTCCTTGGGAAGAACTGTATGTTTTTGTTTTTTGAGTGTTTTGTTTTCCCTCAGAATGAACTAGAAATAATTGAAATGTGTAAAATCCATTTTTGTGATTTATGTGGTACTATAAGCTTAAATGGGCTTTTAATTTGATAACATCTTTTCTTTTTAAATATTTACTAGAGCTATGTTTCTTAAAACAATAAAGAAGAATGATGCTTTTTCTAATTTCTGATTAGTTCCTATAAATCTCTGTAGCCATTGTAAAGAGATGTGCCAAAAAAAAACCTTAATTACTTTTATAACAGCTGTTGGAATTCAAGTAGTAAAAAAATTTTTATTTACAGGGTTTGTCTTCTAGGGCAGTCTTTACCATAGAAATGTATAAACCACCTGTGTGTCTCTGGTCCTGTTTAGGCTCATAAATCTACCGTATGGCAGGTCCGCCACCTGCCACAGAACAGAGAGCTCTTTCTGACTGCTGGAGGTGCCGGTGGCCTTCACCTCTGGAAGTAGTAAGTCTCTCCTAGTGCTTGTTGCTGACCTTCGAGGTATTTGTGGACATAAAGTAGGGTTAGACTGAACTTTTTATCTTTTTTGATTCCTTTGACTTAGTTCATTTTGATATGATTTTAAATTTCATGGTATTACGTTACTATTGTTCTCTAAGCATTTTATTTTTTTGCTAATATATTTATTTTATACTTAGTAAACAGTAACCTTTTTTTTTTTTCTTAGTTCATGTGGCTTATCAGCCCAAACATAAAACTCTCTTCTTTTTTTTTTTTTTTAATTGTACTTTAGATGAAGGTTTACAGAGCCAAACTAGTTTCTCATTAAATAGTTAATACACATATTGTTTTGTGACATTGGTTGCCAATCCCACAACATGTCAACATTCTCCCCTTCTCAACCTTGGGTTCCTGGTTACCGGCTTTCCTGTCCCCTCTTGCCTTCTAGTCCTTGCCCCTGGGCTGGTGTGACCTTTATTCTGGTTTTATTTTGTGGACCTGTCTAATCTTTGGGTGAAGGGTGTACCACAGGAGTGACTTCATTACTGCGTTTTAAGGGTATCTGGGGGCCATACTCTCCGTGCTCTCAGGGTTTCTGCAGTCTCTTATCAGACCAGTAAGTCTGGTCCTTTTTGTGTGTGTGTGTGAGTCAGAATTTTGCACTACATTTTTCTCCAGCTCTGTCCGGCACCCTTTATAGTGATCTCTGTCAGAGCAATCGGTGGTGGCAGCCAGGCACCATCTAGTTGTGGTGGACTCAGTCTGGTGGAGGCTGTGGTAGTTGTGGTCCATTAGTACACTATCCTTTGACACACTAAGTATACTTGTCATTTTAATGGTATCTTCAGTATATTAGAGTAGCTAGGCCTGGTGGCACAATTGTTAAGTGCTCAAGCGGCTGCTAACCAGAAGGTTGTGGTTCGAGCTCACCAGCCACTCCATGGGAGAAACACCTGGCAATCTGCTCCCATAAAAATTTACAGCCTAGGAAACCCTGTGGGGCAGTTTTACTTTTGTGATATAGGGTCGCTGTGAGTCAGAACTGACTCAGTGGCACACAACAGCAGCAGGAACATTCTTACCATAGACTTGAAACCCTGGTTTTTGCTTCTTTTATTAAAGTATGAAAATTTTGGCCAAGGAATTTTTTCAAATATTATCTCCTAATTATCTCTAGAAGATAGGAAAGGGGTTAGAATTAAAATTTTTACATCATGATCCTTCGCTTGCTTCTATTCAGAAAACAGCCCACAGCTTTTGATTGATCTCCAGGGAAAGCCTTATCTTTGCATTTGCTTTTTGCCTCCTCCAGGCAGGGTGAGTTAACAGTGAGAGCTGTGTTACCAGGCACTGTACTCTGTGAATCCCAAACGCCTGAGGGGCCAGATGTCTTTGAAAAGGCCTGATAGAAATGGAGAGTTATGAGTATTTCTGAACACCTTAGCTAAACAGTATCAACTTGGAGGGAAAAAAAAATATTGGAGGGAAAAAAAAATATTTCTCTAAAATATCACTCAGGAAAAGAGAAAAAACACTTGTCCATAAGTGAAAGTTATTTCAAAAGAAAGTTTGATTAATAATGTAAGAAGAAAAACTCCATCTTCAGTATGTCTGGGATTTCACGTTTACACAATACTTCTCTGTTAGCTCCCTTTCCAAGCTAGAGTGGGTTTTGAAAAGCAGGGCTCCAAGGGACAAGTAAACTTATTAAAGAATGCTAGATCAGTCTAGAGCTTTCATAGTAAAAGAGAAAATACAGACGTATCCTAAACAGAAATGGTGTTAAAAATTTTCCAGTAGGCCGCACACTTTTCTGCCTCACACTTTTAGGAGATGTTTTGGGCATAACATTGAGCTTGAAACAGTGTGTCTTTATTTGCATATAACTGAAAAATTAGAAAGATTCTTTAAGTATCAGTTCAGTATTTGTATGAAAATAAAATGGCGAATGCTAAGATTTATCCCTTCTTACCCCTTGGATCTTGTTTTTCAGTGAATACCCTATTCAGCGGTCAAAGAAAGACTCCGAGGGTGTGGAGATGGGAGTCGCGGGCTCCGTCAGCCTCCTGCAGAACGTGACGTTGTCTACCCAGCCCATTTCAAGTTTGGACTGGAGTCCAGACAAAAGGGGCCTCTGCATCTGTAGTTCATTTGACCAAATGGTGAGAGTACTGATTGTTACAAAACTCCACAAAATTTGATCAAGATTTTGGACTTGAGAGCTTCCAGAGGAACTCTCATGGAATGTAAGATATGTTCTGGGAACCTCTGACTGAACAAAGTTGGGCTTTGATGAAAAAAGTCCCAGACGCAAACTGGGCGTGCTCCTGTGCGCGGGTGTGAAACACCAAGGGCTGTCAGAGTGACCTGCCTGACTGACTTGCTGCTGGGCGTGGGGCACCGCTCTCCAGAGCCAGCTCTCTCCTCTCCCCTCCATTTCCACTAAAAGACAGTTGTTGTCTATATGTACACATATTTTTAACTAGTGCTGCATCTCCAAAGTTCCATATTTTATCTTGACACCTGTATTGCACCTTAGTGTTTACAGTGTTGCGATAAGGATTATTTAATTTTGTTTAAAACAGTTTGCCTTGAGAAAACAACTGTGTATTTACCTTCAGAAGTAAACTCTGAGAGATTTCAGTGTCAGGAAGTTTCTGTACAGAATATTACAAAATTTCAGAATAGCACTGTCAGACTAAATTTGGGTAACTGTTTTCAGCAGGATAACTGATAATATGAAATCCTGTGATTCACAGAGACCTCTTTTTTCGTGAAAGTACAGGGAATTGAGTTAGTGAGACTTTTGATTGTTGACTGTGGCAAGTGATACTGTTGAGATGTACAAGGTTGTGGGGGCTTTATGGCGTTATTTTTTGTCAATCCTTTTTATATATCTTATGAATAAACTTTTTTGAAATCTGCGAAGGCTTCGATTCTGTTAACAGTAGTAATAAAGCCAACTCTGTCACTTCTGTTTGCTTTATGAGTTCTTAATGAGTACCAGTTAATTCACCTTGTTTCTTTAATGTTCACCCCATTTTTGGCTAAGCCTTCAGAGGTATTCACTCTTTCATTAAGCCTACCTTCTCCCACCTCCATTCAAGAGACTAAGTTAGTTGCGGTCTAGTAGATTTCGACTCATGGCGACTCCACGTGTATCAGAGTAGAACTGTGCTCCACAGGGTTTTAATGGCTGATTTTTTAGAAGTAGATCACCAGGCCTTTCTTCTGAGGTTCTTCTGGGTGGACTCAAACCTTGCCACCTAAAACATAATATGTAATTTTGTGTGATTTCAGGGGTTTGTGGAGAGTTACTTGTTTGGAGTATTAAGTTCAAGAAGGTTAACTTTTTTTTTTTTTAATTTCCAAAATCTTTTATAGAACAATGCTTTGAACATTATTACAAAAGTAAAAAATTAAATTGAACCTTAAAGCTGATCCCTGCTGTGTGTGGGTTTTTGTTTTTTTGAATTTGCAAAGGAAAATGGAAGCCAGCCCAGTACAAAAAATATGAAAGGGAAATGTCATACATTTCCCACTAAAAAGTCTGATTGCTCTTCAATCCTAAAGTTCATGTTTGGTGAATTTATTTCTATTTAATTATAATTTATTTCCAGTCCTAAGCACTATTTCCATCCAGATGCAGTCCAAAGACACATGCAGTAGAACATAAATAGAGCTCTTTACCTCATGCATGTCTGTAAACTCACAAAATTAAACTTGAAGATAGGACAGTATATTCTGTGGCCTCCTAAATACTTGAGTGATTTAGATGGGTAAATTGTATGTGTTTACAAGAAAAATAATTTGTTTCTGTTAATGTCTGAGGATTGTCCAACACACACATACACACACACACACACACACACAAAAACTATTTCATCCTTTTTCTGCTTGAGAACAGCCAAAAAAGTTTCTGGCAAATACTTAGGGCTTCATGAGATGTACAATTCAGTAATACCCAAGGCAATAGCAGCTCTGCCTCTTAACTTTTAGTGACTTGTCTTTCCCCAGGAAAGAAGGCATTCTCTCCTAGGGTGTGCATTCTGGAGCCCACATCTTTGTTTTAACTGAAGATCCAGTCGTGCTCTGTCCCCTTGTGGGAAATGTTGGCATTGCACACCTTTCCTCATAGAAGAATGTGGATTGTGCTTTGCACATACAACTGGAAAAATCTTGACTGTTTAATTCTCAGGAGGCGCACAAGTCAAACTGGACCTTGAGAAAGACAATCTTACAGACATTTCTTCCCAAAATGTGAGTGCTTTATAGAAAGAAGCACTTGGTATATGGTAACACTACATAGTATGTAAAAAGTATTTCCCAAAGTATGGATTTATTTATATCGTCACTCAACTTCCTACAAAAATTCTAGACCTTCTCCCCACCTTCCTTGCTCTAGATTTGCATGGGATATAGTCATTAATTGTAAAAGCTAACAAGTTAATGAGGAGGAACCTTCCCTCTGCCCCCCTTTGGAGCTAAAACAAGCAACTAAAAATCAACAGTGTGGTCAAAAGAGACAGGTCTCCCTCGCACAGGAGGCTGACGAAACTGGTACTTCATGCTCCTCATTTTAAGTCTTCAGCCTTTCTTCCTGATCCCTAAGAGTGCTCATATCTAGGCTTTTTAAAGTAAATCAGAATGTTGGCGCTGGAAGAGACGTTAGAATCAGCTGCACCCAGATCTCTTTTGGAGACACACACAGGCACTGTGTCTCTTAATGGCCTAGTCCCTGCCTCTCTGTGCACCTCCCCAGGCCCCTCAGCACTCATGCCCTCTGGGCAGCCAGGACACTGCTTCAGTTTAGCAAGCCAGAAACTGAGAACAGGTGTGCAAACAACGCCACCGTCAGAGGTGATAACGCAAGCAAATAAACTACCAGGGAGGAACAGGCTCACAACACCCTGTAGATAAACAAGCGTTTGATCGGGGCTGAGTACATCCCTTATCTGGTGAAAAATAACATTCATAGGCAGAGGGAGTCTGGGCCTGCAGTAAGCAGCTTGGGAACCCTGTGGAACCCTGGCCTGGAGTGTGAGTCTCAGCACACGCATTGAGCCAAGGCTCAGGGACAGTGGACAAGGGGTAATTCTATGTCAGCTCACCTGGGGATCCCTGAACACCTGGTAGGTCGCAGGCTAAAGAAACTCTAAGACCCAGAAGTCTCAGCAGGGGAGTCCTGGTGGCCACAGTGTCTGCTAATCCATTAAAGGCCACTTAGGGCATGCTATGGATTGTCCAAATCTGATCTGTAAAGCTTCTTAGATGATGAGGGAAATGTCAGAAGCCTCATTCTGTTTCTCACTGTTCGGTAAAGAAAGCAGTGAAGAGTAGCCATTAGCATATCCCTAGAGAGACATGATCAGGACCATCTTCATTAAGGTAATACTATTGACAATAATAATACTAATAGCAGCTAATATTTATTGAGCACTTACTATGTGCCAGGCACTGTGCTAAGTGGGTCTCGTGTATATCCTTGAATCCTCACCACAAGCCTTTGAGATAAATATTATTCTCATCCACATTTACAAATAAGAAAACAGGCTTCAAGAGGTTAAGAAAGTTGCCCAAAGTCACACAGCCAGCAAGTAAGAGATCCAAGATTGGAACCCTGTGTTTGTCCATCTCTAGAAATCAAACCTTTAATCTCATCTTTTATATATAGGTGGAAGCTGTGAGGATGATGCAGGACCGGGCAGCATTTCTTACTGTTGAACATAAGGTCACCCTAAGTCGGAGTGAACTTAATGACAGCTATCAGTCTGTCATCTGTCTGTCCTCTAATGTGTATAGTATGAGATTTTTTTTAGCTTAAGCAACAGAAATGGAATCTGGATAACTTTACTAAAGAGGGATCTATGAGAAGGATTTGGGTTGGTGTATCAGTCAAGGGTTCAATCAGAAAAGCAGAAGCACTAGTATAAATAAAAACTCCGTGGGGTTTTTAAAGGCTGATTTTTTGGAAGAAGATCGCCAGGCCTTTTTTATGAGGTGCCTCTGGGTCAACTTGAACCACCAACCTTTCAGTTATCAGCTGAGTGCATTAACAGTTTGCCCCATCCAGGGACTCTGAAGATTGGTAAAAAACCCATTGCTGTTGAGTCAATTCGGACTCATAGTGACCTTATAGGACAGAGTAGAACTGCCCCATGGGGTTTCCAAGGAGCAGCTGGTGGATTCACACTGCTGATCTTTTGGTTAGCAGCTAAGCGCTTAACCACTGTGCCACCAGGGCTCCTGAAGACTGATAAAGCCTCCCTCAAATCTAAAGAGTCACTGTTGTGAGAACAGTATGATCAGATGAGAGGAGAACATGCAGAGTGAGTACGTGGAAAATAGTCCCCAGAATGGCTGTGGGCAGAACTCTTAAGAGGATATATAAACAAAGATGGCAGCCTCCCTAAGGGCAGAGGCATAGTACAAGGCCCTGTGCCTAGTGTGGGTGCTGAGTAATTATTTGATGTTGGATACAAGGGCAAACATCACCAAAGGAGAAATCACTCCCAGGAGTCAGCACAGTAACAACTGTGGGCCTCAGTCCACAGAGGCTCTCATTAGTAACCAGCAGGGGAGACCGGGCACAGTTCTGGGCCAGGGGCCTCCCTGTCCTCACAGTTCTTGCAGGAGCAACCTGGGAAAGCGAGGATAAAAATGGAACTTGTTAATTAGTGCCAGCCCCTGTCTAACTGCCCGACTGCGTTGGGGAAAGGGGGCCTTGCGAGGGGTTGGTCCCTCGGCCTGGACTGTTATTTACCAGGCCCGGTGAGCCTGAGGCAGGAGCGCTCAGGTGACCCTGGTGCGGGTCCCCAGGGAGGAGAGATCCCTGGAGTCCATGGCGGGCAGTGGAATTAAATGAGTCAAGTGGTGTCGACAGTCGCGAGGCCCGCTTAGCAGACAACACACCTAAGAAATCCACACACCTAACATGACCAACTATCGTGGTTTTCCCAGGACTGAGGGGCTCCTGGAATGCTGGACTTTTAGTGAGAAAGCCAGGAAAGTCCCAGGTAAACCTGGATGAGTTGGTCACCTTACTCCCACCTTTATGAGCCTGAATATTGTCCTCTGACCTCTGTGGATCTACCTGGAGTTGCTAAATTCTGTGCGTGTGGTGGAGAGGTGGGGAGGGATGCTATTAGGAGCATAAAAACAAGGAAAGGCACTAAGGTATCTGCACTCGTTGCTTGTAATCTGGCTTAATACAGGTGGCACCATCTTTGCCGTCAAACACGGAAGACTTGCCTGCTTGTCCTACTGCAAAATTCAGAGAGAAAGAAAGATTCTGACCACTGACCATTAATGAGTCCAAAAGCAGGCCTCCCAACAAGGTTAAGGAGGAAAAGCAATAATAAAATGTTGTCCTGGAGGGTGAAGCAGAGGCTCCTGCCACCACCTGTGACACAGGGCTTGTCAGGTCAACCAATTTAATAGATTCAGAGTCAACTCACCTTTTCTGAGTATCTTCTGTGTGCCAGAGGAGTTAACATACACTTTTTAAACCTAATTATTATAATTCTAGAAAGTAGAGATTATAGGAAGAAAGACATGGTGATCTACTTCCAAAAATCAGCCAGTGCTAACGCTAAGGAGCACGATAGTCTGACCCTTAACCATCATGGGGATGGCGCAGGGCAGGGCAATGTTTCCTTCCCCTGTGAATGGGCCAGCTTGACCGCAGCTCACAACAGCCACAACTGATGAGGAAACGGAGGCTCAGAACAGTTCGTGATCTGGCTAAGGTAATGCTGTTAGAATACAGCAGGGCTGTGACTACAATCCAATACTCCTTCCCCTGCTGTTGTCAGTTGCCGTTGAGCTGATCGCGACTCATGGCAACCCCACATGTGCAGAGTTGAACTGTTCCATAGGGTTTTCAGAAGCAGATCTGTCTTCCAAGGTGCCTCTGGGTGAATTCGAGCTGCCAACATTTCAGCTTGTTGTTGAGCGCTTAACCATTGGTGCTACCTAGGGACTCCATTTACTTCTTCCTTTAGAGCAGGCTAACTAACTCATGTATTAATGATTGCTCATAACAGAGACCCCCTCTGGGTTTGATTGAGTTGACTGAGAGCTTTTGCCACACTTGATTTCCGTTTGGTAAGTTGTACAGGATCTAATGTGGTGAAAAGGAATTTTATATACTGTTTTTATTTACTAGGGAAACTGGGATGTGGCTTGGGACTCAGAACTTGTCAGTCACTGTCTGTAACACCTGTCACCAGCAGGGTGTGTGTTCCTGACTTGGGGAGGACTCTGTGGAGGGAGGTGATGGGCCATTACAATGGGCAGG